GAAGTACACGATACGTGACGCAACCACGATCCATATATTTACGCAATGCCATTGTTTCTTCGGCAAACAACAGCCGGTATCGGCTAATGTTAATCTTGCGAACTACTTCGGCTGTAATGGATAAATTATGAAAAGTAGTGGTTAGACCGCACGGACTAGTGCAGGCGATTAAAAACCGTGGTGATTCAGTTAGCAAGATTCGGTAAAAAATTACAGGTACAAATATCTCGGTCGATTAGGTAGAGAATGATTCTGAATCGTCTATCCAAAAGGCATACCAAGAGCAGAAAGTGTAGTTCAGGACCCTCCGGGACTGCTAGCATTTGGTCGTTCTGGAAAAAGGACACTGGGACATAGATTACAGTACTGATTGGGACAAATAAAAAATAGAAGACGTCGTCGAGTTAATAATGACGATAACAATTAGACACAGAATGCATATAAACACCTACGCTGACTCACAAATTGTAGTAAAATTAACTCATGCTCACAGTAAAATTAATTAAGCAGCTTCAAAAAAGGTAACCTCCTCTGTTAAAGCAGTGGAATGTTAGTCTTAATTGTTAATTACTGCGATGACCTTTATTTTTATGTGGACATAAGTCACTTAACTAGTTTGTCAGGCTGCAATCTGCGTCTGCAGTCTGTACCAAAATATACATAATTAATCATTTTTCATTATGTAAACAAGTATGTAAGTAAGTAACTACGTATTCTGTAGAACTTAACAAACTGAATATTTTTCGGTAAGTCTAGTTTTCATTTAGTGATTAAATAAAATATTGTAACGTTAGAGCGTTACTTTGTATCAATAGTCAATAGGTATTAATTTATAAGCAGTTAGTTAAAATTCAGCCGTCAACGCGATAAGGGTAGGAGGTAGGTGCCTATATGCCAAGGCCGCGGAAAATTGTGCTGGTTTTGACATAACTGTGTACATGTACAGGTAGTCTTGTTTATGTTATAGTACGCAATCTAGGACGATTAATACCGCTTCAGTTAATAACATAGTGTAATAAACGATATATGTAGTTCAACTTGTTATAAATTTTGAAAAGAAAATAGTAAAAAGAAACTTCCTTCCTACTGAATAGATAGTCTACTTGCACACAATGTGTCTTTTTGCAAGTTTTTTAAGAATCTCCTACTTTATATGGAGAGAAGTAAGTTGACGTTAAATTGTTTGAACGTGATTTTTAAACTATTTGTATGTGCGACGACTATGACTGACCGTTCACTGCAGCACCCGGAAAGGAAATTCAATTACCATTATAATGCGGCCGCACTCGGTGCCCGTAATAGCCAGGGTTGGCAGCCACTCTCGCTAACACACAATTATATGTAACCAGCGGTTCCCAAAGGAAACCCGCCTAGACGGTAATATTACAGTCACATAAGGTATTTCATTTAAGACTTGGGTACTACCTTGCATTCGTTTTGAGACGTACACCTTACATTATTTGTTGACAGGCGATCTGACTAGATTAAGCAGACCTAAATGTATCTCATCAAACCGTGAGGAGTTTACAAAATACTTCTAAGTTCTATGAAAAGAAAATGCATTTCTATTAAGCATAAATTTTTTTGTAAACATTACTTGGCATTCATTTCCGTAGTAGAGGCAAGTCAAATCAAACAAGTACCCTTAAACATTAAAGGCTACAAAGATTGGGAACACAAGCCCAAGTAAAAACTAAAAGCCTTACCTGCTAATGCAGCAACCTTACACCCCTATTTATAAAGGTCACAGTCGAACACAGGAACACAATCAAGCTAAGTATGTTGGGATCATGCCTTATGAAGCATAGGAAGTGGCCATTTCCAATTCAATACATTCCTTTTACCATAATTATTTAATATCTTAGGTGGTTGCGGCAACCAAATTGGCTTTTCTATCAAACAAGGAATGATGTCAAAACGGCGAATTTTCGTCGATCTGCCAATGATTTTCTGAATGATCATGTGGAAGATTTAGATGGTCAGAGTAATGACTCTGACCATCTAAATCTCTGGGGTCTCCTTGACAAATGTGTCAAGGAGACCCCACTTATGGTATGCGTAGCGAAACGATAATGACATAGGCTCCCTTTACTTTCATATCTTGATGATTTTGTTTAAAAAACTATCGCACTTTTACCGCCACAACCCTAGCCTAGTAGGACAAGCCTGAGAAACACGAGTGACGTCAGGCAGACACCGGATACTTGGTTACCTTTTTGGAAGAAGGAAACAGCAGGTTGGTGTAGGAATTGTCGGTAAGCGACTGTAGTACATAAGTAAGTAGATTGAGAAATAAAAATCTATGTTTGGTTAGCATAAAACGGACAGCATGTAGCGCTGAAATAGTCAGCGCGTGTATTTTGCCAATAACCTTTTTCTTTTTCCCCTTGGAGAAATATTTCGTTCTGCAAGTCGTTTCTATGAACACAATTTACAGATGATGTCCTATCTAGTAACCGTGCACGTGTTATGTATGCGTGATAGGAGATTTTACAGGAAAATTTTAACGATTGTCTTATCTGACCCTTTTAACATGCGCTTGTTGTCGCTAAATATTGTATTTTGTTGTTTCTCCTTCATCGTTCTTGTACAGACGACAAATACAAGTTAACACTGAGGCATCTTACAAGTGTCACCTCCCAAAACAGTTACCCGAAAACCTCCAGCAGCGAAGGAAAAGTATTTGTATATTTTTTATCGTGGTAGCCATCACTATCTATTATGAGCAGAGCAAGTTAAAAGCTTAATAAAAACGATCGCGGCGCCGGGCCTCTTAGTTCAACGCACCAGGTCGTCGCTCCACGGTATACCGTACGGCCAACCATAAGAAATGTACGTTCACCAACGTGACCAAACGTGGAGGCACACACGCCTACAACAAATCATACCATGCAAATAACCACCGCTCTTGGCCGGGTAGCCAGCCAAACAGCCAGTGTGACGTCACCGCATAGCACAAAACAAGTTGCCTACAGGTGCCTGTCCTGGGTCACAATGACCCCTCCCGAATTTTTGTCGGCTCATAGACAAGACGCTAATCAATTATTGTTTGACCATCTAACGACGCTAGAGCCGGCTTTATCGACCAATGTTGAATTTTCACGCTTTTCCTTTAGTGTTGTCATTTAAAATAGGTATAATTGTTTTATGAGCATGTATGTAAGTAGATATTCAAATTAATTAACTTATAAGTAGTGAGGCAATTACCAACAAAATGAATGATCATTATTGTTGTTTTATGAAATACTAGCTGACCAGGCGAACTTTGTTCCGCCTTAATGGCAATAAATAACGGGATAAAAAGTATCCTATGGCTCTAAACTACCTCCCTGACAATTTTCAGCTAAATCGGTTCAGCCGTTCTTGAGTTATAAGTGGAGTAACTAACACGACTTTCTTTTACCTATATAGAAGAGATGATATTAAGCATTTCTTAATTATTATAAAAATATTGTAAAATAGATAAAATATTTGCTAGAACACGCTAACTAAACACAATTTAAATTTCAGATTACACACCTACATACTAATAATAAACTTAGTAAGTCGAACCTATGATTAAATGCTTGCACGCCCTGAACTGAAAATCTAGGCTAGAGTTCTTTCAGAATTTACAATTTGCGCTAAAGTGCAGACTTCTGCGATTTTTTACTAACCCTTGAAACCGTTCTAGACGCTATGTTATCTGGAAGAGAGCGCTTCCTGTCGATAAAAGTCCGTCTTTAAGAACCACTGGTCCAAAGACTGTGCAGTACTTACTAAAATAGAATCTCATAAATGTGCAGTTTCCATTTTTTTTATGTCCTACTTATTTCTTTTCGGTTCGGTTTTGTGTCATTGATTGATCCATTTTGGGCATTCTCCTAGTCCAGCCTGTCTATGTAATAAAAAATGTTTTTTTTAACTTTTTACACTTGATAGCAAGGATTATTCTGTCGAGAATGGTCGAGAATTGAACATCTTCATAAAATTACCTACATCCTACATAAGCGTTGAATGCAGCGTGTCGGCATCATAACAAAAACAAGGATGGGTCATGATGGGTGCATTTTTTGTGAGCCACGCACCGCATCGCTCGGGAATATTTTATACCATCACATTTGTGTTTTTTTATCGAATACTACGTCTACATAGCGCACATTAGCCAGGTAACTTACTGGAGAGGGTTTGTTTTTGTGCAAGAACTTAAATTCATTGAACTGAATCATTTAGACGAGATTTCTATGTTCGATGCCATGTTGATCCATTAGTTACATTACTTTACGCAGTTTTACTTGGCAAGGCAAGTACGTAGGTATCTACCTACTTCATACATAATACACATAATATCAAATAATAACACTTTTTATCGACAAAAGATAATAAAATAGGATTTATGCAGCCTAAGTTATCTTTTGGGCCTTTTGGCTTTAAGATAATTGGTATTTCATTAGCAATAGTTGATGATAATGGGAGAATGCGCGAAGGACCTTTCATGATAACATTTTACAAGTTTTAATTAATCGTTTTCAATTCCGAATTAATTAATCCAACACGGACAATTTATCCGGGAGAAAGCGCCGATACCTATGAATGAACGAACATAAATTTCACCCATCTATTACTTACCAATCGGTAGATCGCGAGGAATGCAGTTTATTTAATTGCAGTGCAGGTAGACTGCGAATTGTCACACGGGCAATTACTAAAAGGGAAACGCGTCCTTAATTCTATCAACGCAAAGGTCAATTTGAAATGTTTTGCTCGGTAGAGCCAGCCGTACGATATTGTTTGTTGTTATCACCGTTATCAACACCGCCCGGTTTCTTTACGCCCCTCACGCTTTTTGCTACACACGGACTTGCTGCAATGCACTCATTCTTTTTGCAGCGGACTGCGTAGTGGAAACCAGTTTGTTAATTTGCCGAATGAAGCTTGCATCCTGTTACGGGATCGGCTCAGCCGAGAGCTAAACGACATCACCTCTAGACGATAAGAGCTATCAAGCAAGGTCGACTCACCGGGTCAATGTCCGCCTCAAACACGTCCTTCAGGTCGTTGTCGAAGTAACCCTCCATGACGGGGGCAAGGGCTGCGCCTCCGGCTCGCTAATAGAGAAAATCCTTCGAGAAAAACTCGCACAATACACACCAAACTGTCACTCAGCTCTTTCCGAGCGGTGCGAGGCTCGGAATTCAAGTAAAATCACGCTAACTTTACTGTCAGCTTATAAACTCTCACAGAACACTGTGCTTATTCACTAGTTTAAGTTTCACTATCGACGGCCATTTGTTTTTGCAATAAAATATTTTTTATGAAGTTTTCACTGCGCGAGAGGAATGTTGGTAAAGGCGTTAGCGCGAATGACACACACTCGCGGCCGCGACCTGCCGTCGAATGCCGCGGCGCGTCGCTCGGCGCCCCCCACCACTCGGGCCCCCCTGATCCTAGCCTTTCATTCATAAATAGGGGGTAAATTCGTGACGTAGGGGCCTGCCCACACAATGAACGCTAATTAAGCATGAGGGTACTCACAATTCACACTACTCTATAAGTCTATAACAAACCAGACGCAACTGTGGGAACTCGCCTTTCTTTGTACCGCCGATTTAGACTTAACAGCTAGTTGGCTTCAATCTTGTTATAAGCACGCCTGTAATTAAACTGTCATACCTACCAGTAATTAATTACAATGCTAGTTAAAACTAATGAGTCAATAAGACCCTATTATAATTAAATTAGTTGCTTGCCTGTTTGCTTGTGGCGCAGGCGGATTTCTATTACCTCGGTAGGTAGGTAGGTAACTAGTAGGTACTTCACAATTAGGCTAGGCACACTCTATTAATAAATTAAAATACAGTAGCTAACTAATGGCATTAGCTGAAACGAACGACCGAACACAGTACCTATTTTTAAGGTTCTCATCTAGTAAGTCATTAAAGGCGAACAGTCGGACGGTCGCAGAATATTTTTCATGCTAGGGGGGTCGTGTCATGAAAAAGGTTGAAAAACACCGATATAAGAAATAACCTTTTGTAATCTTCTAAATTAAGCAATATTAATGCTAAGATTCTTTTAACCCTTTTTAACATATTCTGCTAATTGCTATGCTTCAGGATTTTAAAGGTTTCTTATGGAAAAAGTACCCACATTTTAATTATGCCTATTTATTATTCAGGAAAAGATAGCATTATTTTCTTACGCAACTTTAGTGTTACCAATTTTAGAATTTAATTTTTAGTATAAAATTAATATAATAACAAATCCTGAGTTTAAGATTGATTATATATTTATTTGCATAAAATAAAATAAACTATACAGAAATAAATATTTTTAAATAATGTAAGTATACTTAAATCTATTATTTCTTATAAATTTACAGAGTATGTGATGAATAGGTTTTACTATAAAAACTATTGCACAATTTGTATTTTTGCATTACAGATCTGTCCCACATTTTTAGTGAGGAATAATAACAAATTACCTGCCTTGTGTCACAAAGTAAATGGAAGAATCCATCAGAAGCAGTTTTCAATGCCAGCCTGAATTTTAAGGCCGGCGATACACGGACAGCTCGAGCAGTTAGTCAGTGATCAACATACACGGACCGCTCTTGCAGTCAAGAGTCAATGAAGCTGCCAGTGATAACTGCTCGAGCAGTTGGTATTAACTGCTCGACAAATCACAAGCACGCGCGCCCTGGAATGAAGAAAGTGGGCGGAGGTAACTGCGCGAGAGCTGTCGAGAGCTCGAGGAGTCAGTTTATGGCTGGCGACTGCTTGACCGCACGATGAAAATTCACCGTGCTGCCGACCATCCGAATCAGTTGCAACTGCTCGAGCGGTTCGTGTATGTGCGTCCATAGAATTCTGCAGTTCACTGTGCAGTCGCAGCTTGAAGCTGTCGACCCTGACTGCTTCAAGCGCTCCGTGTATTGCCGGCCTAAGATAGCAATTTGAATTTGTGTAGTGACACCACCAATCAAGTCCCAAGACATTGGTTTTGTTTACCATAGATTTTTGACGACACTTCAATTGACTATTTCTTGATTTTAATCAAAGCAACCAAAAACCCAATTTTTCAGTTAGTTCAAAACCGCCTAATCTAAAGGAATTGGGCGTAATATCCAGCAATGCATATCACCTTTAATTTAGAACAAATATTATTACTCATTATTTTCATTTCAATTCAAGAACTTAGTCATTGTTATTTATAGTAGTGTTACTATAATATCAACAAATTACATTTATCAAAGCGACATGATAACATTTATCGCTAATTTTCTAAATAAACGGAAAATCATCAATGACACTGAGCGGTACCTACTTAGATAGTCAAGGAAGATAAAAAATAAATGTATGTTAGTTTCAAAGACTACGACCGCTCGCCTCTTGTGGTGAACCCACTGGTAACACAATCATAAGCTTACCACGAGAGGTTAACGGGATACAAATTGATTTTTTGTTATACCGCCAAACTAATTTTTCTGCATAACCCGAAGGTAAACTGGTCGAGAATGCCTTATGGCACTGGTTCCCAAAGTGGGAGGCGCGCCCCCCAGAGGAGGCGCAAAGGGCGCAGACAATCGGTGTATTTATTAGATGCATTCCAGGCTGCTCGATACAACCCAGGCGGATTTTTTTGTATGGTCGAAAGGGGGCGCATCTCAAATAAGTTAGGAACCCCTGCCTTATGGTATTAAGTTCGCCTTATGTTAAAATTTCGGCATTAAAGTATACATAAATAAATAATATTATTTAACAAAAATAGGAGCAAACCAATAATGACGCGAACAAAACTGCTCCAAACGCGTTTTGGTGTAAAATATCCACATAGCAAAATTCCAATTCAAAACATTTAATCATGCTGATGATTTGCTTACTAAAAACTTTTTGCAAGCCAAATTACTTTTCAAGTAAATTGAATTAGCATGGAAGTGACGTCATAGGTTCCTATGCTATACATAAAAGTCTATGTGGGAAGGCACGTTTTAACAGCAAAAGTTTTTCATAAAAGACATGTCAATTAATTGGTGGTCTCATCACACACGACTGTTATAAGTCATACTATTATTATGAGGCATGAGGGCAATAGGGATGTTTCCTGGGTAAAAAAGCAAGAGCTTTAATTAGTCCGTCATTTAACTTATCAAAAAATACTTGACACGTATTTTTCATTTTTTCAATCTAATGAAAATTTAAAGAGATCAAGCGCGCCAAAGTTGTTAAGATGAGGCCCGTGTCAAGAGTGCTTAAAAGTGCAGCACTTTGTGACGTCGCGCGGAACTTCAACGCACCATAACTTTGTAATAATTTGTTTGATTGACAATTAAAAATATACGTGTTCAAAATTTTTGGATATAAAATTGACGGACAAAAAAAATTTTTTTAGGAAACTATGCTACACATCCCAAGTGCCTTCTAGAGCCATTTCGCAGGTTTAATAAAGAGTAACTCCCAAAGTAGTAAAAAAGTTGGAACGCGTCTTTGTTACAATTGGAATTAGGTTGTGTCATCAACTTTTTTCCCATGGGTGTCACGAAATATTTGACGCTGACTGACAGTGACTGTACCTAATCTCTAACCGTTTTACGTTTTGTCCGTGTGTCCGCGGTTGCCCCTCGCGACTGGCTGAGGCGTGGTGAAGAGAGAAGGCACGTGCGACTGCAGTGCGTGGACGCCGCCGTGCAGTATGCACACGCGGCCCACCCCGCATTTCACTAAGTAGTCGCTGAACTGAAACAAAATTACCGTTGGTGGCTCTGTTCGACATTCGGTACACTAAAGCTGAGTTGCACCACCAAACTTTGACCGTAACTATAACGATATAGTTCCAATATACTGAACTGTCCTATCCATGACATTGACAGCGGGGCGCCACCGTCAATACCGGATTTCGATTCGATTTTTGCCATGTTGGAAACCATATAGTTGAACGATGGTAGCGCCCCCCTGTCATTGAGTTTGGTGGGACAGTTCAGCGTGGGTCATCTATAACCGGTGATTTTTGTATGCAGTTTGACAGACTTTTGACGTTTGTTACAGTCAAAGTATGATAGTGCAACCCAGCCTTAGGGAACTTTCCCACAGAGACATCCCGTGTTTTGCAGTTACTGTTTTTAGTTGTGCAGGTACTAAACATTCTCGAACACGAACATCCCGTTTCTCGCAAATAACCAATCCGATGGAATTTGGAATTCGGTTTTGTCACTAAACTGGGCCAGTATTCAGATTCATATTATAATGTTTAATAGAAGTGTTCTCACTAGCAGCTTCCTGCATTTTTTTACGGTGTAAACGGGATATTGCGAGATGCAGTAATGCGGGATCCGATAACTTGATTGTAACTCAAAAGGTCCTAATCTTAATGAAAACCTATTTATATGCCTTCTAAATCGGGTATGATGTGTGGTTTTTTAAAGGGCACTATTAAAAAGTAATCAAAGATGATATTTTGACACGTTTGTGTTTCGCCGTGTGTTTTGAACATAATAATCTAACCAAACTTTCCTCGATACATTTTTATGACAGCAATAAATAAATATTTACTGGTTTTAATAATTTTCGGGCTTTTTTTTCTTCTTACTTTAATACATAACTGTTTATCGAGAGGGCGATATTTTATGATATGTACTTAAATTAGAAATTTAAAATAAACAAAATAAGTAGCATTCAACCTTCACTTGCCTAAGTTTATTTCAAACGTCATTTCACTATTATTTCAGTTGATAAATGTATAAATGTCCCTTACATGACCTTATTTTCTTTTGAAAACACTTTTTCTGTTGTTACCAGCGATGACGCGTAGGTATGTAGGTACTTTTACGTAAATGATAAGGATAAATGTTTAGGTTTTATTTAAAATGCTAGGTATTTGTTCTAACAGGCATAGGTAAGTAAAATAAGGTCTAATACTTATGGTTTAGGATTAGAAATTTATTCATACAGTGACATTAAACAGGGTGTTTTTAAGTCTCGGGGTTCAGTTCCGTTATAATAATGCCGCTTTTAGCTGCGAGTCTCATTTTAGAATTTTTCACAATATATAATCTCTGGTTTAGCTAATTTTCTCAACTTTCGTCTTTTTTACCTACTTTCTCGTGACGTCATATTTGAACAAATCGCCCTAAATAGTAGTGCTATAACAACACTTGACCCCTTTTAAAGGGCTTCATATTACCACCACAATTTGAACCTCATTCTTTTATCATAAGGTCGAGAAGCAATGAAAATTTTTCAACATACTGTGCCATATAGAAGGTTATCTACTATAAAAAAATAAGTCGGGTTTTCCTTCCTGACGCTATAACTCCACGGTTATACATTAGTTGGAAAGGTCTCGGGCTCCGTGAGGTTTATAGCAAAGAAAATTCAGGAAAATTTAACAAACGAAATTCAACGCGGGCGAAGCCGCGGGCGGAAAGCTAGTAGGTTTTAAAACATACCAGCTGAGCGGTCTCGTCTTCAGCCGACGCCACGACGACAGTCTTCTTAAGTTTCATGGATTCCTGAATGACCCTCTGAGGATGCAGCCCGAGGGAACGCAACTCGAGTTGGCCGAGGTGCACCCCACTGTACGGGACGTTTATGCTGCCCTCTATGCAGCTTTTGTCGTAACTATAGTTAGGAATTGAAATTAGTAGGTATTTAGTTTTATTTGTATATTCTAGTTACGAATTAAAAAAAATTAGAACAATGACTAATAAGTAAATAGTGAAAGGCTCAATTCAAAAGGACACAGCCCCCCTAGACAAAACGCACTTTTTGATCGAATCGAAAATCGAATCCGTCAAAACTCCATACAAAAAAGGGGCTTTTCGACCACTTTTCGACTGGTTTGCGATTATAATTTGCACTTTGTCTAGACCTACTCGTATGTTCTAAGAGCGAGCGAGTATCGCATTACGTTCGATCCAAATTCGTCAAAATACGGATCTAGAAAAGTGACTAAAAATCGGATGACGAAAATCGGATCTAGTGCGTAAACAAGTACAAATAGTTTTACAACTAAATTCCGGATTGTATTTTCACGGATTCGGATCTGAAGTAATGCTAAAAGAGCTCTTTTACGCCCAAAAAGAAATTCTGAAAAATAACGACAGTTTTTTAATTGGGCTTTCTTGCATTATCAATAGTGTTAAATGCTCACAAACTGTGGGTGGGTAATGCAACATTTGTATGGCTCATTACAGCTGTAGGTCTACAGAACCTTTCAGTATTATAGTACATAGCTTCTCCAACCGAAAAAGTACTATCTACTACAGTACATAATAAATATTGTAGCGATATAAGAATACTCACAGCAAATTTGACCGTATGTCGATGACGCAACACTTCTCTTGGCACACCAGTGAAAAGAAATCTGAGAGGCTAATCCTTGGACATATTTCGGTGAACAGGACTTCCATTGGAATTTCCACTATATCCTAAAAAAATGCTTAATTGAATCATTTGTCCCAGCAAAGATCAGCCAAATATCCCTCACATAATTATAGTAGAAAGAAAAGAGACTTGTTCATATGTAGGTGCCAACCCGCTGGCAGTAGTTGAAATATTAATATTTAACTTCACACTTCACTTCGAAAGATATTACTTACCATAGGGTCCTTCACAACTGGCTCATTTGTAAACCTTCTATAGCTGATACTTCTTGGTGAACTTCGGCACATTTCAATGGATTCCTGCCAACAAAAAAAACAGAAATGGTAATAATTTCATCATGTTGATCACTTACACTTCACTCAACTTAAGACTATAATAGTCGTATTTCGGAATATGATGTTGATTTTCCATTACTTACTTTGAAAAATGAAAGAGAGAAAGAGTCTTTTAGCTGATTTTAGGATAAAACTTAGACAGATAAAAAAAAACTCATAAAACTCATTTATTTCTGTAAATAGGCCTTAAAAAAGCACTTTTACACGTCCAAGTATTAACCCTACCACTGCATCAGGACAATAAATGGGCCAGTACTGAGAAAAAGCAGCGCAAGAAACTCAGACACTATTGTAAGGTACCAACTCGACAGTCACTCGAAAGCAAAAGAGTATAAAAATATTCTTCATTTAAAACTCACCTTGACACACTCCCCTATATCAATTTCCGGCAAATCAGAGAACAGTAATATGCACTCGTTAAACCCTGAGCTTAGTAGCGTGTCTCGCAACTGCCTGAGGATCCCTACTCCCATAAACAAGGGCAAGGATGGACCTTCCACTAACAAAGCGTCCCATAAGTGCACTATTTTGTGCAACGGGAACACATCTGAAATTAAATTTTAGTAGATATAGTAGGGAATTTAGTGCAATGATTTGTATGGAGACCCCTCCACTTTGGTATAGAAGGCTCATTTTTGCAACAGTGTTTCTTTGGGTGCTCCTGAGTGGATTTCCGTCGGTAGACATCGGGAGCCCCCCCTGTGGTAGCAGGGGGAGGGGGGGCAAGTTTCCTTCCGCCGCGCTTCACTTTAAGGCGGGGCGGGTGCCAAGCATCAGAGGGTGACACATGTCGCACAGATAAGTACTCACTGGCGCATCTGCATAGCAAGTCTGCCTACGCCGCCACTGTAAAGATGGCCTTGGGAACGGGAACGGGCGTCTACTGTAAACACTTCGAACATAGTGAACGCTTAAGGAGGNGTCTATAACAAACCAGACGCAACTGTGGGAACTCGCCTTTCTTTGTACCGCCGATTTAGACTTAACAGCTAGTTGGCTTTAATCTTGTTATAAGCACGCCTGTAATTAAACTGTCATACCAGTAATTAATTACAATGCTAGTTAAAACTAATGAGTCAATAAGACCTTATTATAATTAAATTAGTTGCTTGCCTGTTTACTTGTGGCGCAGGCGAATTTCTATTACCTCGGTAGGTAGGTACTTCACAATTAGGCTAGGCACAAACTATTAAAAATACAGTAGCTATGGCATTAGCTGAAACAAACGAACACAGCCTACCTACTTTTAACTTAAGGTTCATTTACAGTAAACTAGTAAGTCATTGAAAGCGAACAGTCGGACGGTCGCAGAATATTTTTTCATGCTAGGGCCCCGGGGGTCGCGTCATGAAAAAGGTTGAAAAACATTGATATAACCCATAACCTTTTGTAATCTTCTAAAATAAGCAATATATTATTATGCTCGTAAGTTTCTTTTAACCCTTTTTAACATATTCTGCTAACTGCTATGCTCATGATTTTAAAGGTTTCTTATGGAAAAAGTACCCACATTTTAATTATGCCTATTTATTATTCAGGAAAAGATTATTTTCTTACGCAACTATAGTGTTTCCAATTTGAGAATTTAATTTTTTGTATAAAATTAATAACAAATCCTGAGTTTAAGATTAATTATATATTTATTTGCATAAAATAAAATAAACTTTACAGAAATAAACATTTTTAAATAATGTAAGTATAACTTAACTCTATTATTTCTTATAATTTTACAAAATTATGAGTATGTGATGAATTAATTTTGCTATAAAAAGTATTGCACAATTTGTATTTTTGCATTACAGATCTGTCCCACATTTTTAGCGAGGAATAATACCTAATTACCTGCCTTGTGACACAAAGTAAATGAAAGAATCCATCAGAAGCAGTTTTCAATGCCAGCCTGAACTTTATGATAGCAATTTGAATTTGAGTAATGAAACCACCATTCAAGTCCCAAGTCATGGATTTTTTTACCATAGATTTTATATGACCGATACCGACTTGACTATTTCTTTTTCTTGATTTTAATCAAAGCAACTAAAAACTCAATTTTTCAGTTAGTTCAAAACCGACTTATCTAAAGGAATTGGGCGTAATATCCAGTAATGCATATCACCTTTAATTTAGAACAAAATATTATTACTTATTATTTTCATTTCAATTCAAGAACTTAGTCATTGTTATTTATAGTAGTGTTTCTATAATATCAATAAATTACATTTATCAAAGCGACATGATAACATTTATCGCTAATTTTCTTAATAAACGGAAAATCATCAATGACACTGAGCGGTACCTACTTAGATAGTCGAGGAAGATAAAAAAATAAATATATGTTAGTTTCAAAGACTCAACGACCGCTCGACTCTTGTGGTGAACCCACTGGTGACACAATCATAAGCTTACCACGAGAGGTTAACGGGATACAAATTGCTTTTTTGTTATACCGCCAAACTAATTTTTCTGCATAACCCGAAGGTAAACTGGTCGAGAATGCCTTATGGCACTGGTTCCCAAAGTGGGAGGCGCGCCCCCCAGAGGAGGTGCAAAGGTCGCGGGCCATCTGTGTTTTTAAGTATAAAAAACCGGCGACCGCCGAGAGAATGCATTCCAGGCTGCTCGATACAACCAAGGCGGATTTTTTTGTATGGTCGAAAGGGGGCTCGTCTCAAATAAGTTAGAGAACCCCTGCCTTATGGTATTAGGTTCGCCTTATGTTAAAATTTTGGCATTAAAGTATAAATAAATAATACTCTTGAAAAAAAAGGAGCAAACCAATAATGACGCGAACAAAACTGCTCCATTTTGGTGTAAAATATCCACATAGCAAAATTGCAATTCAAAACGTTTAATCATGCTGATGAATTTCTTACTAAAAACTTTTCGCAAGCCAAATTACTTTTCAAGTAAATTGAGTTAGCATAGAAGTGACGTCATAGGTTCCTATGCTATAAATAAAAGTATATGTGGGAAGGCACGTTTTAACAGCAAAAGTTTTTCATAAAAGACATGTCAATTGATTGGTGGTCTCATCATATACGACTGTTATAAGTCATACTATTATTATAAGGCATGAGGGCAATAGGGATGTTTCCTGGGTAAAAAAGCAAGAGCTTTAATTAGTCCGTCATTTAACTTATCAAAAAATACTTGACACGTATTTTTCATTTTTTCAATCTAATGAAAATTTAAAGAGATCAAGCGCGCCAAAGTTCTTAGGATGAGGCCCGTGACGTCAATGAGTGCTTAAAAATGCAGCACTTTGTGACGTCGCGCGGAACTTCAACGCACCATAACTTTGTAATTATTTGTTTTTGATATTAAAATTGACGGACTAAAAAAATTTTTTAAGGAAACTATGCTACACATCCCAAGTGCCTTCTAGAGCCATTTCGCAGGTTTAATAAGGTAGTAACTCCCAAAGTAGCCAAAGAGTTATAACGCGTCTTTGTTACAATTGGAATAAGGTTGTGTCATCAACTTTTTGCCCATGGGTGTCACGAAATACACTGGTCATCACAAAAATCGACCCTCCCGCGACAAGCACTTTCAAACGTATGCATCCCCACTTCCCACCAATATTGGCACCATTAAAAGCCTAGTTCTAAACTTCATTTCATTAAAGGAAAGGTTTTTACCCCAAAAATGTGTATGTAGAAGAATCCAGAGTCACTTTTTCAAAAAATTGGTAGTTACGCTTGAGCCAACTTTTATGGCTATAAAACTGTTAAGTTGGGATTAATCGCTATCCATCTGTTAAAGAGGACACGTGAGATCATTATTTGGTTTTATAACCATAAAAATTGGTCTAATTGATCCCAGAGGTGAGCCCAAAGTGAGGTCTTATTTCAAGACGTCACATTTATTGTATAATGTTAATCGTTTATAATCGTTTATGTTTAAGGATATTTATTGGGCTTTCAAATAACACCAATATTGTTGGGGCACCATGATTGTGTCGGTAGAAACGAGTTTTCCTGTAAAACGTAGGTGGGCCGACTTTTGTGATGACCAATATATTTGACGTTGACTGACTGTACCTAATCTCTAACCGTTTTACGTTTTGTCCGTGTGTCCGCGGTTGCCCCTCGCGACTGGCTGAGGCGTGGTGAAGAGAGAAGGCACGTGCGACTGCAGTGCGTGGACGCCGCCGTGCAGTATGCACACGCGGCCCACCCCGCACTTCACTAAGTAGTCGCTAAACTGAAACAAAATTACCGTTGGTGGCTCTGTTCGACATTCGGTACACTAAGGCTGAGTTGCACTACCAAACTTTGACCGTAACTATAACGATAAAGTTCCAATATACTGAACTGTCCTATCCATGACATTGACAGCGGGGCGCCACCGTCAATACCGGATTTCGATTCGATTTTTGCCATGTTGGAAACCATATAGTTGAACGATGGTAGCGCCCCCCTGTCATTGAGTTTGGTGGGACAGTTCAGCGTGGGTCATCTATAACCGGTGATTTTTGTATGGAGTTTGGCAGATTTTTGACGTTTGTTACAGTCAAAGTATGATAGTGCAACCCAGCCTTAGGGATCTTTCCCACAGAGACATCCCGTGTTTTGCAGTTACTGTTTTTAGTTGTGCAGGTACTAAACATTCTCAAACACGAACATCCCGTTTCCCGCAAATAACCAATGCGATGGAATTTGGAATTCGGTTTTGTCATTAAATTTGGCCAGTACCTATTTAGATTCATAATATTATTATGTTTAATATGGAGGCCACGTACCGGTAAACGCAGCGTGGGACGTCCACCCACAAGGTGGACCGACGACCTGATAAAGGTAGCGGGAAGGCGCTGGATGCAGGCCGCTACCAACCGTGCGATGTGGAAGTCATTGGGGGAGGCCTATGTTCAGCAGTGGACGTCCTGTGGCTTAAATGATGATGATGATGAAGTGTTCTCACTAGCAGCTTCTTCCTGCATATTTTTTACGGTGTAAACGGGATATTGCGAGATGCAGTAATGCGGGATCCGATAACTTGATTGTAACTCAAAAGGTCCTAATCTTAATGAAAACCTATTTACACGCGTTCTAAATCGGGTACGATGTGTGGTTTTTTAAAGGGCACTATTAAAAAGTAATCAAAGATGATATTTTGTCACGTTTGTGTTTCGCCGTGTGTTTTGAACAGTCATAATAATGTAACCAAACTTTCCTCGATACATTTTTATGACAGCAATAAATAAATATTTACTGGTTCTAATAATTTTCGGGCTTTTTTTTCTTCTTACTTAAATACATAACTGTTTATCGAGAGGACGATATTTTATGATACTTAAATTAAAATGTTAAAATAAACAAAATAGGTAAGTAGCATTCAACCTTCACTTGCCTAAGTTTATTTCAAACGTCATTTCACTATTATTTCAGTTGATAAATGTGTAAATGTCCCTTACATGACCTTATTTTCTTTTGAAAACACTTTTTCTGTTGTTACCAGCGATGACGCGTAGGTACTTTTACGTAAATGATAAGGATAAATGTTTAGGTTTTATTTAAAATGCTATTTGTCCTAACATACATAGGTATGTAAAGTAAGGTCTACGTAATACTTATGGTTTAGGATTAGAATTTTATTCATAAAGTGACATTAAACAGGGTGTTTTTTTAAGTCTCGGGGTTCAATTCCTACCTGGGAAAATGCACTTAAAAAAACAGATAATGCAGCTTTTAGCTGCGAGTGTTATTTTAGTCTTTTTCACAATTTCTATTGTTTCTGATTTTACTTTCTCAATTGTTATAGGGACGTCATAATTGACCAATTTAAAAGGGCTAAACCTTTAAAGGGCTCCATGTTGCCACTACAAATTGAACCTTATCATAAATTGTCAAAAGGTCGAAAAGCGATGAAAATTTTCAATACATTGTGCCCTTTAGAAGGAAGTAAGGCCCAGTTTCCACCAAGGTGGAGCGGAGCGGAGAAATGTTTTGAACAACCAATCATTTCATTTAGATTTAGTGAAATTATTGAAAGAATGAAATCTGATCAGTTATTCAAAACATTTTTCCGCTTCGCTCCGCCTTAGTGGAAACTGGGCCTAAAGGGTTTAAAACATACCAGTTGAGCAGTTTCGTCTTCAGCCGACGCCACGACGACAGTTTTCTTCAGTTTCATGGATTCCTGAATGACCCTCTGAGGATGCAGCCCGAGGGAACGCAACTCGAGTTGGCCGAGGTGCACCCCACTGTACGGGACGTTTATGCTGCCCTCTATGCAGCTTTTGTCGTAACTATAGTTGGGAAATTAGAATTGTGTTTAGTTTAATTTAATAAAAACAGTGCAAGTGTTGTTATGAATAAAAAAAATACAATACTGTTTAAGGCCCAGAACAGACGGTGAAACGCAACTGCAACGAAGCTGCAACTGCTAGTTACTTTTGAGTTGCATCTAAGTTTCTGCCATAGCGTCCGTTGAGAGACCACACATGACGCGACCAGTTTGAAACTTTCAGTTTCAGTTTCATTCATAAGAATCATCAGAAAGTTGCAGTTTCGTTGCAGTTCAGTTGCGTTTCAACATCAGTTCTGGGCCTAAGTGACTGTTGAATATGAATAAGGCTAGGTTCAGATGAAAAAAGAAACTTATAAAGCCTGGTCCGTGAGCACGTAGAATTTTGTCCAATGACCCCAAGCTACCCATCCTTATCGCTCGCGCGTAATTATGGGGTCATTGGACAAAATTCTACGTGCTCACGGACCAGGCTTTAGAAGAGCGACAATAATAGATTGGGTTACATTGTATTACCAGTGTTGAATGCCCGCAATCTGTGGGTGGACGGTGCAACATTTGTATGTACTCTTTGTACAGATTTGGATTTAGTCTTTTTCAGAATTATACATAGCTTTTCCATCTGAACAAAAATAGAATTACACAGTTTAAAATTAATATCGAATTGATATAATACTTACAGCAAATTCGATCGTATATCGATGACGCAACACTTCTCTTGGCATACCAGTGAAAAGAAATCTGAGAGGCTAATCCGTGGACATATTTCGGTGAACAGGACTTCCATTGGAATTTCCACTATATCCTAAAAAAAATGCTTGATTTGAATAATTTGTCCCAGCAAAGATCAGCCAAATATCCCTCACATAATTATAGTACATAGAAAAGAGACTTGTTCATATGTATGTGCCAACCCGCTGGCAGTAGTTGAAATATTAATATTTAACTTCACACTTCACTTCGACAGATTACTTACCATAAGGTCTTTCACAACTGGCTCATTTGTAAACCTTCTATAGCTGATACTTCTTGGTGAACTTCGGCACATTTCAATTGATTCCTGCCAACAAAAAAAAAACATTATAAATGGTAATAATTTCATCACGTTGATCACTTACACTTCACTCAACTTAAGACTATAATACTCGTATTTCGGAATATGATGTTGATTTTCCATTAATTACTTTGAAAAATGAAAGAGAGAAAGAGTCTTTTAGCTGATTTTTGGGATAAGACTTAGACAGATTAAAGGTACCAACTCGACAGCCACTCGAAAGCAAAAGAGTATAAAAATATTCTTCATTTAAAACTCACCTTGACACACTCCCCTATATCAATTTCCGGCAAATCAGAGAACAGTAATATGCACTCGTTGAACCCTGAGCTTAGTAGCGTGTCTCGCAACTGCCTGAGGATCCCTACTCCCATAAACAAGGGCAAGGATGGACCTTCCACTAACAAAGCGTCCCACAAGTGCACTATTTTGTGCAACGGGAACACATCTGAAATTACATTTTAGTAATTAGTACTCATATAATTGAGGGGATGAGATGTAATTCAGCATTAAAATGATTAAGAGATACTTTAATTTCAAACTATTAAATTTGATGTGATTACTGTCATTTATCCGGCTCGAAGGACCAAAATTTTTTAGTATGCAAATTAGATCAAAATTGAATATTCATTAACAATATTCTTCAATGATAATGGAACTAAAGAAATAAAGACTAATAGATAATCATACTCACGTGAAAACATAGTCAAGAACCAAGGTATAGCGAAGAGTTCTGGCACGAAATTGATCTCGTGGAGATGCGATGCGAGCACCGGCTCGTGGAAGGCCGCCATTTGCCAGAACTTTGCCAAGTACTCCTTGATGACCGCGCTGTTGTCCTTCAGGAAGAACTTGTGAAGGAACTTTGGCACGAACGCTTTGAGGCAGGCGAAGGCGCGCGCTGTAAAAACTAACTTATTAAAATCATATTAAATGTATTGGATTTCTATTGGAAACATAGTGAGACTATCACAATGTAATATTTTTATCTGTAAACACCTATGTTTCACAATAAATAATTTTGAATTGAATTTGAATTCTATGATTATATTAAAATCAAACAGAAATGTTTTGTAAAGCCCGGTCTGCGTAACTATGTTGCTGTCGCGCTCGCACACTCACTGCGGGCGCCCGTCGCACAGTCGCGACAGCAATATAATTCCGCGCGAGCGATAAGGATGGGTAGCTTGGGGTCATTGGACAAAATTCTACGTGCTCACAGACCAGACTATAGTCATCGCCATCAGGTTACATTTCTCCATTGTAGGAACACGACTCTTTTCAATTTACTAGAGACGAATGAAGGATAAAGTCTACATTCCCTACCCTTCTGGCCTGATGTTCGCATATTTGTCCCTACGTTGCACGGGAAGAGTGGTGGTGGTCCTATTCTACGCCACAGCTACGTCCTTTAGCAGCCGTGCTAGCCGCAGTACTAGTGTAAGCAGTCAAGTTTTTAACTGGCCGCTTTGAAGCAGCAGTAATGTCTATGGACTCAAACATAGTCTCACCTTCGTTACAAAAGTTCAAGTACAGGAATGGTGCAGTGAGTGAATCCAGGCCTTGCCAGTATACATATTGCGGGTGTGTGAGCAGCCAGGCCTTCAGAAGACGTTTCAACGCGCGGTGGCCCGCCGCTCCGCTTAGTAACCAGCAGTACTGGTAGCAACAGGGGTTTACAGAACTACACACAGCAGTCTTACCTTCGTTGCAAAAGTTCAAGTACAGGAATGGTGCAGTGAGTGAGTCCAAGCCTTGCCGGTACACATATTGCGGGTGTGTGAGTAGCCAGGCCTTCAGTAGACGTTTCAACGCGCGGTGGCCCGCTGCTCCGCTTAGTAACCAGCAGTACTGGTGGCAACAGGGGATCTATAGACTACACACAACAGTCTTACCTTCGTTACAAAAGTTCAAGTACAGGAAAGGTGCGGTGAGCGAGTCCAAGCCTTGCCAGTACACATATTGCGGGTTTGTGAGTAGCCAGGCCTTCAGTAGACGTTTCAACGCGCGGTGTCCCGCCGCTCCGCTTAGTAACCAGCAGTACTGGTAGTAACAGGGGGTCTAAAGACCTACCAGCAGGAGTCTTACCTTCGTTACAAAAGTTCAAGTACAGGAATGGTGCCGTGAGTGAGTCCAAGCCTTGCCAGTACACATATTGCGGGTGTGTGAGCAGCCAGGCCTTCAGAAGACGTTTCAACGCGCGGTGGCCCGCCGCTCCGCTCAAAAGCCAACAATACTGGTGGCAGCGGGGGATGTCGACGTCTATCTGGACGGAGATACACAAAAAGAAATTGGAGGATGCACAAAAAATATGTAACACTTATACCCGTTTTAACCATCAATCCCTAATTTTTAAGCGACCCCTATGGTAACACTTAACAGGTATTTTGTTTTCATAGGGGTCACTTAAAATTAGGGATTGATGGTGAAAACGGGCATTAGTTTAACAGATCTAAAGCCAAACTTCCCTAAAAGAATCAAGTAATCGTTGAGAGTAGTTGTGTCCTAATTTAGGACATTCGGTCTCAAATTAGTTGACAAATGTTAAAAAATAATTTAATTATAAATCCGCCGACAAGGCCAGTAGAATTTGAATTGAAATCGGACTTAATCCTAGAAAAGGTTTAATTGTTTTAACAGGCTTCATTTATTTCTTCATTGTTTTAATAGGTTTAATAGATTTCTATAACAGTAACCAAACCTGTCTATCAGTCGGCGTCGGCGTTTCCTTGTCGATCCTCTCGTACTGCTCATCAATGTCTCCAACGACCCCCAATAAGGCGGCCCACACGTCCCCTCGCACTAGCGGTGGTATGTCTATCTCTGCCTCTGCCCTGATGTATTGAGCTGTGTGCGGGTAGCCCTGAAAAAGACAAAGGATATTTCACCCTTTTAGGACATTTTCCGTGAAGTTTCTCTTTGGCCCAGAACAGACGGTGAAACGCAACTGCAACGAAACTGCAACTGCTAGCACAGAATAATAATAAGTACTACGTACAGAAGTTTTACTACGCGAAGTTATTTAAAAAAATGTATGCTCAATGTCATTAACAATATGGTGTAATTTAGCCTGTCTCAAGAGTCAAGCACCATTTTATTGACAAACGTCAGTGATCGGCACTGCGCCGAAGCTATAGGACTGACTTAACGGTAAAATAATGTGACGTGAGGTGCCAAACTACGGAAAATGGCGGAGGAAATACATGATTTAATATGAATTATCATGAATAATATTAACTACTTATTTACCTCTCAGTGTCATGAGGCAACTTAAAAAAGTACATTCTGTGTTTTATTATTATTTAGGCAGTTAAATACTGCACAGTATTTAGTACACCATTTTCTTTATTTTCTTCCATCATACACAAGAATACGCGTGCGTGAGTCAATGTTCGCTCGTATGTGAGGCCTTGTCGAATAGTATCCTGTAGGTGGGCCATCGTGCGTGTTTTGTTTTCGATGTAAACTCGCGGAGATGAACAGGCCTGCTGCTAGTTACTTTTGAGTTGCATCTAAGTTTCTGCCATAGCGTCCGTTATAGACCACACATGACGCGACCAGTTTGAAACTTTCAGTTTCAGTTTCATTCATAAGAATCATCAGAAAGTTGTAGTTTCGTTGCAGTTGCGTTTCACCATCTGTTCTGGGCCTTTCAGTACACGTCGTAATATGCTACTATTACAAAAATATGCAGACATCAGACATCCTCAATAAATTAGCTACGGGGAATTACGGTTTTACTCAAAACAATCAAAGTTGAAATGACATCTTTTGTTTCATTGTCCCGGTCGAGTTGAATGCGCATCTGGCAGCCGTGACGTCACATCGACGCTCAGGTGAAAGTGTCGCATTCTAGCAAGATGCGCAGTTAGCTTGATTGGGTTGTAGCTATAAAATATGCGATCTACTAAATGATTGTTTAAGTACTATTTTTGTTTTTATATAATTTTTATGTGACAGGAGGCAAACGAGCAGACGGATCACATGATGGTAAGTGATTACCGTCGCCCATAGACTGATATTAGACATTGTTGTAAGTCATACTTCAGTTTTATGATTTGTATGAATATTTACACTGAGACAGTACAGAGACAGATAAATAACCAGTCAAACATAATAATAACATAATAACACTTACATGCAAAAGCCTCTGAAACCACAACAGCCTATAGAACTGGTACTCCGTGTCTCTCTCCCTGATGATTTTTGGAAGAGCTACAGCATCATTGTCTTTCTTGCGCTCATGCATCAAAGGGTAGAAGTCGTGAGGAGAGATATGTATGAGCCGCAGTTTTAGCAGGTTCAAGCTGTACTTGGCTATACGCCTGTCGAATAAGGCGCCAGTCTTTCCTCCTATGGTACAGCCATCAAGTAGGATAGCTCTGTGGAAATAATAAATATTTATTTCACGCGTAATTATATTGCTGTCGCGCTCGCACACTCACTGCGGCAGCCAGTCGCACAGTCGCACAGTCGCGACAGCAATACAAATACGCGCGAGCGGGATGGGTAGCTTGAGGTCAGACGAAATTCTATCTGCTCGGCGACCGGACTTTACAACTCATAATAAGTACTTGACACCTTGTTTATATTAAACAGTAGCCAGTAAAATTTAATAAACTTACATGGGCATAGACAAAATGGGAGGACTGTTTTTGATCAGACAATTTTTCTTCAACTCCGCCTGAATGTCTCCGCCTGTCAACTGCCACAGATGATACAGTAGTTGCAGCTTGCATCCCATCAGGCCTCGGGGCTTCTTCAACTCGGCCAACTGCTTGTTGTCAACTTGAGACAAATCCGTTGCAAGTTCAGCAAATGTCGCCCTCTCACTTGGGTATATCTTGAGGCATTTCTCTATAATGTTCTTCAATGAATCTGGTACTTGCTGTAATGATTTATTACAAAAAAAGCTATGATAAAAAATTATGGTTTCCTTTGCAATGAGAACATACTGCATTTTCTTTAGGAGTTGGACAATCTTTATAATTGTGTCCATTACTGCAAATTGAGCACCGTTCCTCGTTCTTACAATACTTGGAAATGTGACCATACCTCTGGCAGCGGTAACATTGCTTAACTGGAGGGATGTACTGGGTGATGCTGTGCCTCCAGCCGCCCAGCTCCACGAAGTCTGGCAGGGTCGTCGCCGCAAAAGTGATGGCGACTGTCCCTGTGGGCTGACGGGAGAAACCTTCAGTTGTGGTGTCTTTGCGGAAGAATCTGCGAACGCTGATAATCTTCTTGCTACTGCTCAACATGGTAAAGATTTTTTTGTTATTGTACTTTATAGGCACATTTCGAATTATCCCCGTGGTTTCGGTGGATGAAGCTGGAATGCTGGCTTTGAACTGATTATCACTTAAGAAGGTTTTATTATTCAGTAGTGCATTGGCTAGACCTGGCTTTTCAAAGTAGACTCCTATTTTGTACTTGTTGAGTGCTTTCAAATACTTAACGCCTTTATTGTACCTTCTCAGAACGTTGGAAAGAGATAATAAATCTCTGGTACCAANAATGGTGCCGTGAGTGAGTCCAAGCCTTGCCAGTACACATATTGCGGGTGTGTGAGCAGCCAGGCCTTCAGAAGACGTTTCAACGCGCGGTGGCCCGCCGCTCCGCTCAAAAGCCAACAATACTGGTGGCAGCGGGGGATGTCGACGTCTATCTGGACGGAGATACACAAAAAGAAATTGGAGGATGCACAAAAAATATGTAACACTTATACCCGTTTTAACCATCAATCCCTAATTTTTAAGCGACCCCTATGGTAACACTTAACAGGTATTTTGTTTTCATAGGGGTCACTTAAAATTAGGGATTGATGGTGAAAACGGGCATTAGTTTAACAGATCTAAAGCCAAACTTCCCTAAAAGAATCAAGTAATCGTTGAGAGTAGTTGTGTCCTAATTTAGGACATTCGGTCTCAAATTAGTTGACAAATGTTAAAAAATAATTTAATTATAAATCCGCCGACAAGGCCAGTAGAATTTGAATTGAAATCGGACTTAATCCTAGAAAAGGTTTAATTGTTTTAACAGGCTTCATTTATTTCTTCATTGTTTTAATAGGTTTAATAGATTTCTATAACAGTAACCAAACCTGTCTATCAGTCGGCGTCGGCGTTTCCTTGTCGATCCTCTCGTACTGCTCATCAATGTCTCCAACGACCCCCAATAAGGCGGCCCACACGTCCCCTCGCACTAGCGGTGGTATGTCTATCTCTGCCTCTGCCCTGATGTATTGAGCTGTGTGCGGGTAGCCCTGAAAAAGACAAAGGATATTTCACCCTTTTAGGACATTTTCCGTGAAGTTTCTCTTTGGCCCAGAACAGACGGTGAAACGCAACTGCAACGAAACTGCAACTGCTAGCACAGAATAATAATAAGTACTACGTACAGAAGTTTTACTACGCGAAGTTATTTAAAAAAATGTATGCTCAATGTCATTAACAATATGGTGTAATTTAGCCTGTCTCAAGAGTCAAGCACCATTTTATTGACAAACGTCAGTGATCGGCACTGCGCCGAAGCTATAGGACTGACTTAACGGTAAAATAATGTGACGTGAGGTGCCAAACTACGGAAAATGGCGGAGGAAATACATGATTTAATANTACATATTGCGGGTGTGTGAGTAGCCAGGCCTTCAGTAGACGTTTCAACGCGCGGTGGCCCGCCGCTCCGCTTAGTAACCAGCAGTACTGGTGACAGCGGGGAATGTCCACGTCTATCTGAATGGACACAAGCGAAAATATAATGGAGAATAAGAAAAACTTTTATAACAGTTATAAACGAATAATTACAAGGCACAAGTTGCTTGCACCTAAAGCACGTCTGGCCTCTAAAAAAAATCCTGATTCTTTCACAGATTATCAGAAGTACCTACTTTATTAGCAGTTATTATTTTAGCTTGCAGATTCATTTGTATTCATATTGCGTATCGTATACTATGTTTATAAATAAAAGAGGTCCCAAAAACCAAATATAACCTCGTAAGAAATCCGCACAAAGCTATTCTTTATGAAGCCAATATGAGATGACAGTGCTAAAGTCCGGTCGTCGAGCAGATAGAATTTCGTCCAATGACCCCCAAGCTACCCATCCTACGACGAAATTCTACCTGCTCGGCGACCTGTCTTTAGTCGATTATTATCGCTATTTCACCAAACCTGTCTATCAGTCGGCGTCGGCGTTTCCTTGTCGATCCTCTCGTACTGCTCCTCAATGTCTCCAACGACCCCCAATAAGGCAGCCCACACGTCCCCTCGCACTAGCGGTGGTATGTCTATCTCTGCCTCTGCCCTGATGTATTGAGCTGTGTGCGGGTAGCCCTGAAAAAGGCAAAGGATATTTCATCCTTCTTAGGACATTTTCCGTGAAGTTTCTCTTTGGCCCAGAACAGACGGTGAAACGCAACTACAACGAAACTGCAACTGCTAGTTACTTTTGAGTTCCATCTAAGTTTCTGCCATAGCGTCCGTTGAGAGACCACACATGACGCGACCAGTTTGAAACTTTCAGTTTCAGTTTCATTCATAAGAATCATCAAAAGTTGTAGTTTCGTTGCAGTTGCGTTTCACCATCTGTTCTGGGCCTTTCAGTACACGTCGTAATATGCTACTATTACAAAAATATGCAGACATCAGACATCCTCAATAAAAATAAGCTACGGGGAATTACGGTTTTACTCAAAACAATCAGAATTGAAATGATATCTTGTTTCATTGTCCCGGTCGAGTTAAATGCGCATCTGGCAGCCGTGACGTCACATCGACGCTCAGGTGAGAGTGTCGCATTCTAGCGAGGTGCGCAGTTAGCTTGATTGGGTTGTAGCTATAAAATATGCGATGTACTTAATGATTGTTTAAGTACTATTTTTGTTGTAAGTCATACTTCAGTTTTATGATTTGTATGAATAATTTACACTGAGACAGTACAGAGACAGATAAATAACCAGTCAAACATAATAACACTTACATGCAAAAGCCTCTGAAACCACAACAGCCTATAGAACTGGTACTCCGTGTCTCTCTCTCTGATGATCTTTGGTAGAGCTACAGCATCATTGTCTTTCTTGCGCTCATGCATCAAAGGGTAGAAGTCATGAGGAGAGATATGTATGAGCCGTAGTTTTAGCAGGTTCAAGCTGTACTTGGCTATACGCCTGTCGAATAAGGCGCCAGTCTTTCCTCCTATGGTACATCCATCAAGTAGGATTGCTCTGTGGAAATAATAAATATTTATTTCACGCGTAATTATATTGCTGTCGCGCTCGCACACTCACTGCGGCAGCCCGTCGCACAGTCGCGACAGCAATATAAATACGCGCGAGCGATAAGGATGGGTAGCTTGGGGTCATTGGACGAAATTCTATCAGCTCGGCGACCGGACTTTACAACTCATAATAAGTACTTGACACCTTGTTTATATTAAACAGTAGCCAGTAAAATTTAATAAACTTACATGGGCATAGACAAAATGGGAGGGCTGTTTTTGATCAGACAATTTTTCTTCAACTCCGCCTGAATGTCTCCGCCTGTCAACTGCCACAGATGATACAGTAGTTGGAGCTTGCATCCCATCAAGCCTCGGGGCTTCTTTAACTCGGCCAACTGCTTATTGTCAACTTGAGACAAATCCGTTGCGAGTTCAGCAAATGTCGCCCTCTCACTTGGGTATATCTTGAGGCATTTCTCTATAATGTTCTTCAATGAATCTGGTACTTGCTGTAATGATTTATTACAAAAAAAGCTATGATAAAAAATTTATTTATTTAGAGTTTTAAAGAGATTAAAAGTAAAGTTCTATTAAATGTATTGTTAACTTTGTCTCTCATTTCATATTGTGATTATTTGCTTTAACCACACATAATCTTTATCCAAGAATTAGAGAGATGTTTGGCTTGACATAATATTCTAATATGCTTTATTTATGTTCTTTAATGAAGCATAACTATTAACCTTAGAATAGCATATCACTTACTTTATAAACCTCATGATAATCGTGTTCCCTAGCAATCCTTTCTGCTGGGTTGCCAGCATGAACCAAAGTAAGTATCCTTCGCAATATGGGTCCTGGCTTAAGGTTCTGCCACAGCTTGCCAACACACAGCTCTAATAGTATAATGCCAAACGTCCACACATCAGCAGACGGCCCTCCACCACCTAATATTGTTTCTGGACTGAGATATCTTGGGAGCCTGAAAAGGGATAAAGAAAATTAGTTTTGCTATAAGAAAAATACATGGTAAAGGGCTGATAATAATATTTTATTTTTGTCTTGAACTAAGCGTAAATATAGTTATTAGCTGCAGAATGGAAAATTGCGCTTTTGGTGTTGTATTTTATTTTATTTTGTTCGGAAAACATTGAAACAATAACAGATTAATAACACTGCTTAAGAAACTATACATCATTTACATGTTTTCGCATATATGTAGCAATACAATTAAACAACAAAAGCCAATTCACTTACATGAGAGTATTTAATTAATGTTATTACTTAGTTCTTAGGCAATTATTAAATAAGAAAACAATTCGTTAATAATTTTATTACTCTGAATATAGTTCAAACAACATACCCCAATGGAAATGACACTTCCTTCCCACTTTTGGTCATAAAGTACAATCCGTAGTTAAACAGTTTCACTCTACCGTTACTGTCCAACAGGATATTGTCTGCAGAAAGGGTCCTGTGGGTGATATCTTGTTCATGCAGGAACTTCAAGGCATTTGCTATTTGCAGACCAATATTTGTAATTTCTCCAAAAGAAAACTTAGATTTTACTTCAACCAGGGATTTTCCAATGACTTCTGCTACAACAATGATTCTCTCTGAAAGTTAAGTTCATCTAAATCAGTATAGTAAAATATCTAACAATTTTGTGAACGCACAATACTTTTATTCTCTTTTTATATTTTATATTTATCTTATCTAACATCCAAAAATGTCCTATGTGAAATTATGTATACCGGGGTATCGAATAGGCAATTGAAACGCCCACATCGGACCGTAGATAAATTGTTTTAAAGCTTACCATGTTTGCCCCTGATAACATCCAGGTAAGTGCACAAATTGGGGTGTTCCAAGTGTAGCAGGCGCTGCGCCCTGCCCAGTATCGTCACGGAACTAGGCGTGAGAGGCAGCCCGTTACTGCCGCACGTCTCACCCGGGTGGTTCTTCGCGAAGAAGGTACACGCAGCGAACTTGTAATCATCCTCGTTTTCATCCGGCATATTGGGCACTACTTTTTGACTGATTGTAAATGTACAAACAGATTAACACAGTTGGTTGTAGTTAATATTTTGTAATACTATTATTTACCTATTATTTTTCAGGGGTGTTTGTTGGTGTTTGTATTCTAAATATTCTAATTCGATTTTAACAAGTAGAAAAAATAAAAATGAATGTTTTGATCGTAACAATGACACTGACAACGTCAACGTCATTAATTATTTTTGGTTCGATTCTTTTGCAGCAAGCAAAGATAATAATAGATATTAATACAAATAAAAATTTAAAACTTGGTTGTAAAGCATAATGCTTCCTTTGCCTTTTCCTGCAAAAGGTTATCGAATAAAAAAAAATTACTGAGGTTAGTGATGTGCTAGCTCGGATCAGCTCGAATATAACCATGAAGCTATTCTTCTTCTCAGTCGGTACACTCTTGTCAGAGTGGTCGTGGTCATCAAATTGAATCACGATTCAGAGTGATGTTCCTCGTAATACGGCGCCATTCCTCGCGGACTGCAGCTTTCCGGGTGCTTTCGCTAACCGAGCACATGAAGCTATAGCTTCATGGATATAACACATCTCGAGTCAATTCGATTGGCAATTATGTACTCGAGTAATGTAACTCAAGTTAACTGGATGAAACTGATTGAGTAAAATTAAATGATTTATTTTGTGTCAATCAATGTAATGACTCAACTTCTTAACCAATTTTAAAGGTCCCGTCATTTTTTCTAAAACAGATCATAATATCACGAAAAGTTAACAAATACAGGTACACCAAATAATCTCAAATCTGCAATTTTGTGACGTTATAATTGCAATAAATGCGGCCTTAGCGCCTGCGTCGAACTCTATCAGCAGACGCGTTGAATGTTCGACGTGTGAATGTTTTTATATGTACCCACTTTTGTGTTCGCGCGTTTACGTAATTAATATTTTTGTTAAATTGTATTTTCTCTGTAAGTGATTTTTGTAATCTTTTGAGAAAATAAATATCTTAAACCATAAACCATATAAATATACAGGGTGTCCCAAAACCAATGGATAACCCTGTAACCATCGATAGGCCTCGCCATGGTCTCCCTAACGTCCAATTTTGACCCCAGTAAAAATATCACCGTCTTCAAGATTTTTACGTTTTTGTGCATTTTTAGAAAATTGCCACCTGAGATTACTTTTTCTCATGCCATTTCTACAAATGATGATACTTTTCAATCTAGATTTTTTCCTTATCACAAGGGAGGCTACGTACCGGAAAGCGCATCGTAGGACGTCCACCTACAAAGTGGACCGACGACCTCAATCCTCATAAAGGTAAGCAGGGAGATGCTGGATGCGCTACCAAGCGATCATTATCACAAGGGATAGTTGGGCTATCAAAAGAAATAAAGATTAAAGTTCAACAAACTAGTTTAAAAGTATGAAAATTTTAAGAAATTGCAGGGAAAAAGGAAAAATTAATTCATTGTCTTGCACTTTTGATCAGCCATCGTGTAAAAAAAATGTAGGAAGACCATCGTGTCCATTACCTTAAAAACTTTCTTGGTTAATTGAGATTCTAAAAAGGTATCACAAGCCTATGTATTCTGTATTTTTTTATCTTATGGCTACTTGAATAGCAACTAGTATGAAAACTGCAAAATTGACTTTTTCTCGTAATAGTTAAACTAGGACTGCATAGTGGCATTAAATACAAATGGATAATTTTTAGCGTACGAATTTAAATAAAGCAACATTTTATCATCATCATCATCATCATTTCAGCCCTAGGACGTCCACTGCTGAACATAGGCCTGTACCCCAATGATTTTCATAATGATCGCTTGGTAGCGCATCCAGCACCTTCCTGCTTACCTTTATGAGGTCGTCGGTCCACTTTGTAGGTGGACGTCCTACGATGCGCTTTCCGGTACGTAGCCTCCCTTGTGATAAGGAAAAAATCTAGATTGAAAAGTATCATCATTTGTAGAAATGGCATGAGAAAAAGTAATCTCAGGTGGCAATTTTCTAAAAATGCACAAAAACGTAAAAATCTTGAAAGCGGTGATATTTTTACTGGGGTCAAAATTGGACGTTAGGGAGACCATGGCGAGGCCTATGTCGATGGTTATAGGGTTTTCCATTGTTTTTGGGACATCCTGTATAACCAATTAAAAACTCGAGTCATAGAGAATTCAACTCGAGCTAACTCCAATACTATGTCCGCTCAAGATAACTCGATATAAATCGAATTGACTGACACATCACATCACTAACGGAGCTTAATGTCAAAGCGTTGATTAGCGTTGTGATACTTGTGATTTCATTTCCAGTGATTTTCTAATGAAATGGGATTCTAATTTTGATATAATTCCTATTTTACTGTTAAATTTGTGCCAAATTAACCTGCCGTACTGAAGGTCAGATTGTCAACATAATTTTAATCTTGCACCATTCACCAAACAACACTTGATTGACATGACGTTCCACTTTCATTTAAGGTCTCAACATGGCATGTATTGAAAATATACCACCAGCTAAAGCTGATTCGGAGATGGAAGAAGGAGAGATAGTTGATGACCTTGATGACCTCTCAGATATTTCATCAGAAGAAGAGTTTTTGCTGCGCCAGAGGCTCCAAGTTCTAGAAAACTATAACAATGTCCTTGAACGAAAGAAAGCCAAGAATTCTCCTGTCGCACCAGGTAATTTTGGGTCTTATCATCATTGGAGGGTGGGGTGAGCAAGTCAAAGCCATATACCCACATTAAAACCAGTGTTATGTATAGGTACCTACATGCTTTGATGCATCTTTCTGCCTGCCAGTAACAACCTTGTACACTGAAGCAAGCACAATATGGTCTATGTAGTCTTTCCATTACACCCAATTCAAGTTGTCTTTGTTATTGAGTTACGAGGAAAAAAACATTTCTATTTTTTTGAGATTGGATTCTAATTAAGATTGTTGACTATACTACAAATTAAACTTCAAGTGTTAGATAAATTGAGAATTATTTGTATTCAACAACTTATCCAGTATAAAACAATCAGTTTTCCCACTAACTCATTTGGGCGGCAAAATCTAATGCCCGAAGTCAAAACGTCACCCTTGTCTCTGCCCTTTTTCATATTGCCACAGATTAAAACCCATTAACAGAAAAGGGTTACCATATCTACAGTAACTGATTAAATAAAGGTGAAACAAGTATTTTATACAACAAGATGTCACTGACATAGCCCTTTTCCATGTTCTTTAAGCACCATACTAAACTTGAAACTTGCCTTATTAGCTACTCTGACTCACTATAGGTTGTTTTTAAAATCAAAGGCAATTAAAATTACTTCTAAAGAATTTATAGATGTAGATATAACTTGTCATTCAAGTTAGATTACAAAAAGGCCATGACAACACATTCAAGCTGAGCGAAAATATGCTGCAACAGTAGTTGAAAAACTAGTTACAATCTGGATTTTTCGCTATTAATTATTATTCAATAAATTAATTAACATAACGTAACAATACTTCTTGTTTTACCAATTTAGAAATGTTATAAATAATACATTTTTATAATGTTTTGCAGTGTTATTTATATTTCTGGTTAGTGAATTTTATATTTTTAATAATTAATTACTAATTAATTTGTTATTAAAAGCATTAAATTCACTAGAGTTCATTTAATATCTAAAAAAATTTTAAACATTTTTAATTTAGGTCACATTGTTGACTTCTTTGATTGTCACTTGCTGGTTTGATATTAATATGAAATGGATTTTAATATTTAATATTATATTATACATATTTTACCTATTTATAATTCGGATTTTATGTCAAATAATTATGATGTAAGGTTTATAAATATTTATTTTTTACTAATGTATTATCTCTGTTGTGTTATTATTTTTATCTTTTGTTAAAGTTCTATAAAATTTACTCCTATAAATGTTTAATTAATATCATGCATGTTGTTAAAATAGTTGAAAAATAGACTTAAAATCATAAACTTTTAGGGAAAAAAGGTAAAATTGAAAAGAATAATCTATTACCTAATGACTTATCCGAAATATCTGGTTCTGATAATGAAGAAATATTCCCGAAAATTACTATTAAAAGAAATGATAGTGGAAGATACATCAAACAGAAAAAGAAAAGACCAGTTCTTATACATTTTGGAAAGAATAAAGATACCAAGAAGAAAAGTCGGAGCAGAAAAAAACCTATTCCAAAAACAGTGATAGAGTCTAGTGAAGAGTCTGATGATGAGTATAGGAATAAACGGCGTAAATTGGCTAATGCGGTAGTCGTGCATAAACCAAAAATGGATGCTTCTTCGCTAAGTGCTAGGCTAAAAAGAATGTTTGGCACACAAAATCATGAAGCCAAAAAAACAATAATTGAAAAAAAACCAGTAGTTCCTACAGTTCCTAATTTAGCCGTCAAGAGCTCTTTGAATTGTAAAAATGTTGTAATAAATAATGAATCAAATACTGAAAAATCACCAGAAGCACAAGCCAAAAACAGTTTACCTAAACTATGTGAACTAATAGACTTATGTACTGAGGACAATGATGATTCCATAATTGAAATCAGTGATGTCAAGAGTCAGGATACTGTTGATTCTAGTACTGTAGATAAATCGAATGATCCAGTTATCAAAAAGCTTCCTACCGGAGATTCTGATGAAGATCTAGAATTACTAAGACAACATGCTCTGAAAACGAAAGGTCCCAAAAGTAAAGGAGACGTAAAACAACCAACAGATAATAAACCTTTCAATCTATCTGATGATGAAGACAGCGACACAGCTGAATTAAGGTTGATATGTCTAAAATCAGCTTTATTAAAAAAAGCTATTGAAATGAAACAAAAGCAAAAACAAAGAAAAAGATTGTCGCAATCCTTTCATGAAGATTTTGACTTAGATCCCGAGATAGTATCTAATAAAGCAGATGCAGATAACAATACTGACATTGAATCAGTTGATATGGAAATAGGCTCTGAAGATGAAAAAGTCAAAGATATTAGTGATAACTGCAATATCATCAATGAGACAAAGCAAATAACAGAAGCATACTGTATTATTCCTAAAACTCCACAAAAAGATGAAATAGATGATGATGAGGATTTGTTGAGGGCTAAACTATTAACGTCTTTGAGTAAAAATTGGCCTAACTTAGTAGACCCTAATGTCATAGAATCTGTAAACGAAGTTCATAGTCCAGAAACGCCCGTTTCAACAGTTCCGAGTAAAGTTACTAGTATACCGGAAGCAAAGCCATTCATAATTAAATTAGGAGATTCAGACTCGGAAGGAGAACATGAAGCCACAAAGAATTTAACAAAAATGCACATGAAACTGTCTGAGCAGGTTGACTTTCAGCAAAAATTGGATCTATTTTTGAAGTCTACTAGAATGGAGGTGGAAAAACAAACATTACCAGATGTTGTGCAAAAGGCACCCGAACAACCGAAACCGGCTCCTAAGTTTGTGGCAAAGGTTAGATGTGTTATTGTAGTACTGAACAATCAAATTACCCAATTATTATAGTTTTTTTTTTAATTTCTTATCATTTGCATTTTAGACTGTCAGGCATTTACCTAAATCTGAACAAATTGAATATAAAAATTTGGTCAGGAGAATGGCGGAGTTGGAAAAAATAAAACAGGCAAGGCAAACGTCTATGAATTTGAGTAAAGCGAATGCTTTAGCAAAGGATACGTTGAAACCGAGAAACGTGTCCATAGAAACTCGAAAGGTCGTCGTGAACCATAATTTGGAGCAACAAATAGCAGTTTCAAGGTACGACATATTGAAATCGAAAACTCCTTCCACATTTCATCATAATGTATCATCACTTCCAATTTTACAGGAAAAAAATAGCAGAGGAATCAGCTAAGATGCTTAAACTCAAGGATGAAGCCACAAAACTCTCCCAGAAATATAAAATAGCTGCGACTGAGTTGCGAAATATCTCAACAGCTATTACTTTAAATAAAAAAGAACAGAAATCCATTCAAAATAGATTAGCTAAAATAAGACTGCAACATCAAACCCTTCTAAAAAGGTACTTTTTTATATTTGATCTGACAGGCGATTCAGAACCTTACTTAAGGTGACTGTCGTATAAATTAGTAAAATATGAGAATAATATCATATCATCTGGATCAGTTACTTTTGGATTGGTTTTTAATCGCCTACCAGTTCTGTTGTTATATTTTTAAATTTTAATATTAAGGGTCGCCTTCCACAAAATCATTTCATCAGTTACTCTAAATATGAGGTTCAGATTCACTCCTATTTTTTCCAGCTCAACTTCCAATAATCATTCCAAAACAATTAGTACACCAGCACCATTAATATCACAAGTAAATAAAAGGAAAATATTACCTGGAACTAAATTACAAAAAGAAAATAATCCTTCAACGGACGACTACAAGAATCCCGAAGCCTTAAAATCAGTCAAAATTAGTGTTGTAAATGACTTGAGTGATGATGTAGCAGTTAATCAGAGGCTATCGATTCAAGTTGACGTTTCTGGTAACAATAAAAAAGTTGTTAAAATAACTAATAGTCCAACAAAGGAAAAAGTGGTGGATGTAGCAAAACATAGAAATAATAAAAATGAAAATTTGGCCGAAGAGAAGAATCCGACGGTTGAAAAAGGCGGGGGGAATGGGAAGAATTGTACTGATGCAGATAATGATCAACACAATGCAGAGAAAACTAACAAAGTCATTGACGACTACAAGTCGCCGCTTGATGCTTTAAATGCTGGATCGTAAGTGACTGTTAATTTTATAATTTTCATGCATACACGAATATTAAGGGACATGAGATTCAAACATAATGTTAAATGTTTAGTTAATTTTTAAAGTTCTTGATGTTATCAAGCAGTAAAGCATAAAATGATGATTTTATAATTTTAATTAATTTTTCTTACATACTCATACTTTTTCCATTAGGTATTATTGTAGAAGAAACTGTGCATGCTTACATTACGAATTTCGACGCTTCAAATGATATTGTGGATGGGCAATGTGTACGCACATCGTACTGTGTGCGATGTAAGTATGCATTCACACTGTCCACGCTTGGTATCGAATACTGCGTAATTGTTTTAATGTGAACATTTTTCAGCTGGGCGGAGGACCCGAACAGTTTCCTTTGTCCGTTCGAAGTTGGAGGCACTTGCAAGGATCCCGACTGCAAATACCTACATCCTAAAATCCCTTCAAAACAATGACACAAACATCCTCGCTCCAATGCGAAACCACACTGCCATAAACACAGCCACACGCGCCATACTCACACACGTTACACTTGTGCCCTACCTCCCCCCGACAGCTAAAGACGTCAGCGATGTTATGTAAAGTATTAAACACAACATTCTTACGATTAACATTTAGCTTTACGATAAATACGTTTGTAATTTTATCTTAGTCATCTGTCTTGCCATTTTGTTTTATTTTAATTTTATTTTAATTCTTTCGATATCAGTAGATTATAGTAAGTATTAAATGTGATATTAGTTATTCATGTGTTCTCACGTTCACTTTGTAAATAATGCATAATTACCAAGATTTTAATGCTGATTAGTTTTTGTTACGTTAGGCAAATCAAAACTGATTGCAAAGCGTCGTCGCAAGGTTTTAATTTGGTGTAAATATGCAATTTTAGTTGGCGCTGGATGCAGCGGCGGGCGTCGCGTCGTCTGCGGTAAGTTAGTGTATAATTTTTTAGTGACTTTGTAGTGTTCTACGCACCCGTCGCTCCCGCGAGACTCGAGACTGTTCCATTGTTATAACTTTGATATAAAGTGAAATATGTTGAATATGAATATTTTAACGTTGTGTACACCTTGTAAAAAATATGAAATAAATTATTAAGTTATTGTAAACTCGAGTTTCAATCAACTGCCCCTGCCCCTGTAAATAAAAATACCAGTAATCTTACAAATAGACATTTTATTTAGACATTGTAAAGAAAATACAAAGTAAAATACTTTTTCTCGACACAGATACATACACTTAGTTAGAATAATAATAAAAATATGTACGTATATTTTCAGAATAAAATTCGATATAATTTATTCATAAAACCCTTAAACAAAAGGGTGATCACACCATGCAATGATTACTATAGGTACATGATAATAAATACTTTATCGTGACAGAATAACTGTGGGCATATATTATCAAAATAGCCGAAGTACATAGGTACGTAGATCTAAGGATTTTAGGGTTTAATACTTACATATCTTTGGACAAATCGATTAAAATTATTATTTTTCTAAAATTAACAGTTTGTACAAAATTCTATAAATTCATAAGACTTGTTTGGTGTTTCCAAAGCTCAATAAATTATTTCTAAAATTCCGTTTTTGAGTGTGAATGTACATAAGTTACATAAGTTTTGTAAATGTTCTTATAATAATAGGCCAAAATGTTACAGGGTTACCAGACCAACCTGGTATAAAATAACAAACAGTTCAGTAAGAATATTGTCAGGTAGACAGTACGAGTAGAAAGAGCCCACAGTTAGCCCTGGATAGTAGGTACATAAAAGAGGTACATACAAGCTATTGTAGTAGAATGCTTTGAAGAAGACTTACGTTTAATTAATTAGCTCTTTATAAGTTGTGCACCTGCTTAAATAACATCTCGTTAGCCTATAAATTTGTGTAAACATGCAATTTATCATAATTATAACTACATATAGTTAGTATACACTTGAATGTTATCACGAAATATATCGCGCATATAAAATAATTTGGAATGTTCTACACTTATAATATTGAAACATTGTATTGTTGTTTATCACTCTCGAAGTGTATTTGCATGGAATCTTTCTGGGATAAATTTCTTCGAGTTACACATACTATTGGCTATTTTAAAATGCAAAGTTTATCCGAATTCGCTTAGCCATGTAAGCATAAGTACCTGACACAAATTAATACAAGATGCAATTTTCAAGGTATGTATACGAAACCTTCGTTTTCCAGAGTGGCCTCTCGAAGGGAACGCACATGGGATTTTTACGATCAAACATCGGTGCAAGTACCTATACCATAGGAACCGAGTATTTACATTATTGATATGGAAATTACTGTGTTAGTAGTTTGAGCTAGCATTGAGACTCGTGTATTTTGTAGGTATTTTATAAAGGTCTATTCACACAGTTCCACTTAATTCACGGAGCTTCAATGATACGTCCGTGATTCCCGGTCCTTATCAGAACTGAGCGAACACGTTGATGGAACTGTGGCTTTACTGTTAATGTTACATGTGTGAATCGTCCTTAAAAGATCCATAAGGACAAATGAACCTTTAGCATCGGGGATTAGCTCGCAACGTCTTGGATGCACATAGAGAATTAAAAAAACATATTTTTTTAAGCTGATAATCGGCAAAAGTGACGATAAGAATATTGAGGAAATAGGCTTATAAAAGTAACATAACTATTACGTATGAGCCTAAGTTATGACTATTTATCCTAAGTTACATATAAATTGTTTCTGTGATGTGCTATTAGAAATATCTAACACTCATTTACTAGCGAGATGTTATCATGTAGCATTCCGATACTATCTATGTCTTTAGCTTCGAACCTTTTATTTACAACGCCAGCGAAAATAGGGTATTTTTCACGTTAACTCTAATGGTGTATGAAATGGAAGTCTCGTAGATCAGTGCTGAAGAACTCCATTTCCACTGGTGGTGTAATTTTAAAGTGTTCGTTGAAATTAGCGATTCATTAGGGGCCATCCATAAAGTACGTCACACGAATTTAATGAGTTTTTGACCCCCCCTCCGTCCTTGTCACAGGTGGTCACATTTCTGATACCCCTCCCTAGTGTGACGTCACATGTTTTGCAATTTCATTTCATTTGCAGCAGTTCCGAAATTAGTTTTAACTATTTCCATGTAAATTAAGTACCATTTTATGTTATCAACATTATATTATATCAAATATTTGAAACAATTGAAATGTGATGTCACGAAACTTAGGACCCCTCCCACCTCTTGTCACACCATGTCACACTTTGTCAACCCCCTCCCCCCCTCTTTACGTGTGACGTACTTTATGGATCACCCCTTACATCAGTTGGTGTAAATACAATATTGATGTATTTTTATTTTAGTAAGAGTGGCCGAAATTCAGCGTCCCCTAGACTAGTTACTACCCGTTCGCGCTAAGTTTGCCGGTCTGTGGAATGCGCGTCCCCTCCCCTAACCGCGATTAAACGCAATTAGTTAGTGATGAAACGCAATTAAGTGTCTTATTTTACGCAAATACACAATTTTTATCAATATTAATAAATAAAAAATATTTTCAATATAGTTTGCTATAGTTATAGTATAGACGCTTTCCTTCGAGTGACGTCATATCGTCGGCGGTAAACTTATCGCGAACGGATAGTACAGACTATTGATGTGNTTTTTTTTAGTGTTTCCTATTGTAAATTTTAAATCTACTGTACATTGATCTCGGAGTTATCTACTTAGTAAATTGAAATCTGACTAGAGTGATTCAAAGTCAGCACCTGACAATATTATTCTTAAAGCGGGCAATCACTACCAGTGGGCAATCACTCTCTGGCTTACCCTACGTATATTTTCAGAATAAAATTCGATATAATTTATTCATAAAACCCTTAAACAAAAGGGTGATCACACCATGCAATGATTACTATAGGTACATGATAATAAATACTTTATCGTGACAGAATAACTGTGGGCATATACTATCAAAATAGCCGAAGTACATAGGTACATAGATCTAAGGATTTTAGGGTTTAATACTTACATATCTTTGGACAAATCGATTAAAATTATTATTTTTCTAAAATTAACAGTTTATACAAAATTCTATAAATTCATAAGACTTGTTTGGTGTTTCCAAAGCTCAATAAATTATTTCTAAAATACCGTTTTTGAGTGTGAATGTGTTCTTACATAAGTTTTCTAAATGTTCTTATAATAATAGGCCAAAATGTTACAGGTTACCAGACCAGAGTCTGGTATAAAATAACAGTTCAGTAAGAATATTGTCAGGTAGACATAGACAGTACGAGTAGAAAGAGCCCACAGTTAGCCCTGGATAGTACATAAAAGAGGTACATACAAGCTATTGTAGTAGAATGCTTCGAAGAAGACTTACGTTTAATTATTTAGCTCTTTATAAGTTGTGCACCTGCTTAAATAACATCTCGTTAGCCTATAAATCTGTGTAAACATGCAATTTATCATAATTATAACTACCTACATATAGTAAGTAAGTATACACTTGAATGTTATCACGAAATATATCGCGCATATAAAATAATTTGGTATGTTCTACACTTTTATTATTGAAACATTAAATTGTTCTTTATCGCTCTTGAAGTGTATTTGCATGGAATCAATCTGGGATTTTCTTCGAGTTATAATTAATTATAGGTAACACATACTATTGGCTATTTTAAAATGCAAAGTTTATCCAAATTCGTTTAGCCATGTAAGCATAAATACCTGACACAAATTAATACAAGATACAATTTTCAAGGGATTTTTACGATCAAACATCGGTGCAAGTAGGACCTATACCATAGGAACCGATTATTTACATTATTGATATGGAAATTACTGTGTAAGTAGTTTGAGCTAGTATTGAGACTCGTATATTTTGTAGGTATTTAATAAAGGTCTATTCACACATAATTCTACTTAATTCACGGAGCTTCAATGATACGTCCGTGATTCCCGGTCCATAGCAGAACTGAGCGAACACGTTGATGGAACTATGGCTTTACTGTTAATGTTACATGTGTGAATCGTCCTTAAAAGATCCATAAGGACAAATGAACCTTTAGCATCGGGGATTAGCTCGCAACGTCTTGGATGCACATAGTGAATTAAAAAAACATAAATAAATATTTTTTTAAGCTGATAATCGGCAAAAGTGACGATAAGAATATTGAGGAAATAGGCTCATAACAGTAACATAACTATTACGTAGTATGAGCCTAAGTTATAACTATTTATCCTATGTTACATATAAATTGTTTCTGTGATGTGCTATTAGAAATATCTAACACTCATTTACTAGCGAGATGTTATCATGTAGCATTCCGATACTATCTATGACTTTAGGCCTTCGAACGTTTTATTTACAACGCCAGCGGAAATAGGGTATTTTTCACGTTAACTCTAATGGTGTATGAAATGGAAGTCTCGTAGATCAGTGCTGAAGAACTCCATTTCCACTGGTGGTGTAATTTTAAAGTCTTCGTTGAAATTAGCGATTCATTACATCAGTTGGTAAGTAAATACAATATTGATGTATTTTTATTTTAGTAAGAGTGGCCGAAATTCAGCGTCCCCTAGACTACTACCCGTTCGCGCTAAGTTTGCCGGTCTGTGGAATGCGCGTCACCTCCCTATAACCGCGATTAAACGCAATTATTTAGTGCTTAAACGCAATTAAGTGTCTTATTTTACGCAAATACACAATTTTTATCAATATTAATAAATACAAAATATTTTCAATATAGTTTGCTATAGTTATAGACGCTTTCCTTCGAGTGACGTCATATCGCCAGCGGTAGACTTATCGCGAACGGATAGTACAGACATTTTATCGGCCGATAGTTAGGTTGGTGGGCTTGTCTTGTACCTACTTACAGTACGAAAAGTTTGTGTTCTGTGGGGGCTCACAAGTTTCTGGGACCGACACAGAATTAAATTCATACAGTTAAGTAGGTATCACTAGTACATTACATACTACATGTTATCTCAACGATTTTATATCGGAATGCTACACAGCAAGGTGACTGATAAGTGCCACTTAGAACGTGGAACCTACATCATAAGTATTATTCGGACTGCCCAGCTGCTTCGTTTCTGATAAAATAGCGCGTCAATCGCTGAACTACCTATCCGATCTGTAAACATTTAAGTATATTGAATTCAAGAGAGTGGAGAATGAAATATTTATAATACATATTCGCCGTAAATGTCTTTTTTCTGTGATTTGGATTTAGGCACACGTGAGGATTTAATCCGCATACGGGGTGCCTGCATTTAATTAATTCATACATGTTTTTCCTATTACGCGGGCTACACGCACGCGGAACGCGGATTGGCTGCGGGCACACAATAAGAAATCTTCGTCCTGCGTGCAACCAGCAGCGTGATTTACACGCACGCAGAATAAATCCGCACGTTGCGAAATCCAAATCACAAGAAATATGCACTTTATTTAATGTTGACTATTATAATCATAATAATAAAGGACTTGGATATTACCCAAGTTCACTGATACGTGTAAAGCCTGTTGATCTGACGCCAACAAGTCTTTCATAAGCGCGATCTGCGGCATTCAGAAACTCAGGGTGCTCGCGGTGCGGCCATCAACGGCCCACAATATCTATTCATTACGAAAATATTAAATGAAGAGCTCTCGCACACACAAATTTTACACGCAGATTTATTTGTGAGAGTCACAGGTGTTTTTAAATTTGAACGCCACCTAAGCTCAGCTTAAGTATTTACTTATTATGTTACCGCCTGAAAGATCTTAGGTACAGCTTTCCTCCTTATGTACCGCCTGTCTTACGCCCTTTCCCTATTTTTGGATGTGTATCATTTTCATTCTTATGGTAACATAAGCTACAGCGATAGGAGGCTATAAAATTCAAGTGTGCGATGACTCTAACTGATCCAGTATTGAATTATAGATCCCCGAGCTCCGAGGTGTTTACTTTACAAATACTTCTATGTACAAACTACTAGACGACAATCTCTTCTGAACTAAAGTCTTCTGAAATTAAGTAAGTAGGTACCTAGATGTGCCGTTCCTCTCTGCGAAAGTTGCCCAAGCCACGGTAAGTAAGTACCCTTGCAAACTTACACTCTTGTTTATGCTGTGTGCTTACCATGAGTTTACGTTAGGTGTGCTCGCTAAGTAGCGAGTGCGTCAAGAAATTTTAGTTCTGGAAAGTAGCCGCTAGGGGCGCTGTACAACTGTCATACATACACCCCCATAATAATTATTATGAGGCTTATGTATTTTTTTACGCTATCACCACTATAGTATATTTTATAGCGAGCACACCTAAAGAACTTAATCACATGGTAATAACCACACTGATGCTAAAACAACGTGCGCATCTTGCCAACGCGACGTGCACACTTAAATTTTAAAATTAATTCAATTCAAATTAATATTTCTGATCTTGTCTAGTAATATACTTAGAAGTTATTTGTTATGATAACTGTTGTGCGCCTATCTGAGCGTGTGCCACATGGCCACCGCCTTCCTCGTCTCGTGCGCCATTTGGGCCCAGTGACGCCCCTCGGCGGCGGGCTCCGCGGCGCCCACGCAACACCAGCCCACCACCAGCCCGCTGCCGCCACCGGTCACCACGCACACCTGGAAATAAATAATTAGGTAACATAAAAAATCTGATTTTTATGCATAATATTTGGGCAATGATTAGAAGTTGTTTCCACAGCAGCCAGATAGTTTTGACAGTTCCAACTGCTTGCCAGACAGTTTCTTTAGGATAGATGCTAAAGCCACGATGACCCAAACTTCGTGATTCACCAGCATTCTAACCTATATTGGGAGTAAGTATATGACTAACTTTCAGCTTTTATAAAATGACGTAGGTCTGGCGTTCACTAGCACTTACTTACTTAGTTTAATAAAAAATAGTTTATAGGACTTGCCTCAATTGAAGCCTCTTGAAGATTGGCAGATGGCAGGCTGAACGATAGGGCCTCGTTCCAGACGGGATTGTTTATCTCTTTCCTATTTGTTTTCTTCTTTTTCACTCTCTTCCCGTTCACGAGGAGATATACCTTTACAAATACATCTGAAAGCAGGAAATGGTTGAAATTGATAATAAGAAAAAGCCATAAACAAACGCATGTTAATTTTTGGAATGAAAATGTGCGAATCCTATCCTATTTTTGAAGCTTGGTTAAACAAGTAAGTGTAGGTAGATGAGGTAATCTATTATACTGCTACAATGGTGCTAGGGGAGACCGAGGAGAGTTGAGGCATTGACGATTTTTTGGAACTTATTAACTACTTACTAGCGAGCTCGTAACAGTGCGCGCTTTTTAGTTCAAGGTGGTTCAAGTCTCGAGCTAACAAATACGTGCTGTTGCGAGCTCGCTGATAGTTGATAAGTTCCAAAAAATCGTCAATGTCTCAATTCTCCTCTGTTACAATTCTCCTCGGTCTCCCCTACCTAACTTATTACACGGTTTAGGATAATGTAACTTCTTCTTACCCAAAGCATCCTTTCCCTCTTGCGGTGGCAGCAGATTCCGCGCCTTCAGAACGACCACAGTCAGCCGTTCTGCTGAGGGCAGGTACGACAGAGACAGCAGGAGTTCCTGCAGCTCCTCCGGAGGGCGTCTCTCGCGGGATAACTCTGCCCAGACCTCGGCGCCTCCTGCTACCTCCACGCGGGATAAGGGAACCTTGGCTGACCCCATCACCTCGTTGCGGGAGAATCTGCACACAGGGTAATATGATTTTTTGAAACCTAAGTAAGTAAATTAGGGACCTAACCGTTAGAGTGTAGGTACATAACCTGTAATTACTTATCTGCGTGATTAGATTACCTTACATTTATGACTATGACTATGACCTATAAAATTTACCTACTGTTGTAGAATAACTATCTATCTTAACTGTCTTTTGTTTTCGTTACCCAGTGTGGGTAGGTAATAAATAGATATTTAGCTCCGTCCATAGCGCACCGACTCTATGCTTTGAATAGAATCAGATCTTCCCACTGTGGTTTTTCCCACTAAGCCACTAAGGCGATCGACGGAGCACTGGCTGGGGTTATTTTAGTGGGTATGCCTCATCTTTCTGATGAGGAGAGCCCCAGATAACCTACCCTGTCCCCGCAGGGTAATGCAATTTCATGCATTTTTTCCCCGAAAAAAAGGGGAACCTATAATTTTGTTATTCAGTGAATGTGATGGAGCCTCACCGGTGCAATACTTGCATTGATCATTTTACAACTTGGGTTTAAATCCTACCTGTCATAATCGAAGACCTGCAACAGCAGCACCTTATCTCCCAGGTCGTCATGCGACACGGGGAACTTGAAGTGCTGGTCAAAGAAGGGGTTGGCCTCATTCCGGTGGACTGGCGTCTGCCGCACGCGGGTGTCCACCTCGGGTAGGAGAGTCACTCGGACGTAGGGGTCGTTGAAGCCGCCTGCTTCGTAGCCTGCCAGGTCGTGAGCTGGAATCGTGGATTAGGTGGTTAATATGGCAGTTTGGCTGGGAGGAATTTGAGCTCAAGTATCTAAGTGAGCAAGCATATTTTGGGAAAGCTCTTTCACCATAGATCGCATATGCACCCCCTAAGCGAAACTGCTGTCAAGAGTAAGCCCATAGCTACTAGCAAAAGACCTAAACCTACAAAACCCACAATATTTGTTACCTATTGTAACTTTAGAAATTATTGAATTAATATAGTAAAAACTAATGGCAGGGCAATATGCGATCAGGAATTGAGCCAATGCAGTTTGAGTACCTACTTACATAAAANATGCGAGTCATTTCTACTAGTATCTTAATATGTAAGTCTAGACATTAGCACGTCACTACCTTGTTTAATATACCACGCAATCTTGTATACCCATTCTTATAAGATACACCATACACGAATGCATGGTAAATTCAGTGAACTGCTCCTGAATCGAATGTACCTACTACTACTATTTCTATTTATTTATATTAACCGGCAGACAGTGGTGACTGAGTTTGTTGCGGCGCTTCTTCTCAGCACTTGCCAAATGTTGGTCTCGAAGCGCTGGTAGGGTAAAAAGATTATGAGACATGTAGAGGCTCCTTAAGAGCAAAATGACGATTTGTAAGAACTATTTATTAGTCCAAACAAATAAAGAAATTTTGACTTTTTTTTTTGACATTCTTAGATGGTAACATCCGTAACATGAGCTACAGCGATAGGAGGCTATCAAATTCGAGTGTGCGATGACTCCAACTGATTCAGTATTGAATTATAGATCCCCGAGCTCCGAGGTGTTTACTTTACAAATACTTCTATGCATGGACCTATAAAAAAAGTCGGACGGATTCTCATCAACAAAATACTGTGACATTAGGATACACCAGCCTGCCTGTACGTACAGGCCGGCACGCACACATTCACACCCTGATACACCACTTCGAGTGCAAACTTCACACAGTTGACACATTTAAGCAGCGAAAAAACAACACGAATACGACATGTCTTGTGTGATGAAATTGTGTAAAAACCGTTCTGTTCGAACAAACAAAAATTAAGGAATCACATTTCACAGGCAAAATAATAATCCAATCACTTATTTCCCGACATTAAAATATTGAAATTAATTGAAATCAAACGTCATTCACTCGAAAAAATAATACGTCAAAGACCAGTGTTCTCAGTTATTTACGTGGGAAAATTACCCGAAATATGGGAAATTAATAATAATTTAGGACTTTTTAGTTATTTATTACGCATACTATGGAAATAAAATAATTTATCATTGTGTTTTAATGGGATATATTTTCATAGGTAAATTTGATTCTTCCCAAAAATGTGGAACTGGAAAATTCAAATTTTCTTACATTGATTGCAAGTCAGTGTCAGGTTGTATGTTAAAAAACATCTATCAGAGATAATAATAATATATTGATGATGCATAAGATTATGATTATAATGTACCTACACAAGATTCGTAATTTGTAACTGCTGCGTGAATCATTATTGATCAACATTATGTACATACCCTGACTTGCAAACAATGTAAGAAAATTTGAACATTGAAAATTTCGCGCCTACCTCAACGCATTCCCCTTTCATCCTTTTAAAATGGCACGGAATAATTCTGTCTACATTTCCAAGTAACATCTGCCGATCTGTTTTTCTTAAAATAAATGGGTAAAATGTTTTGGCTAACATGGCATCCCTAAATTCACTCACACAATAGACAAACGCCAAAATTTTGCGTCACAGTTTTGTTGTAGCGCGAGTTCCGTCCGCCTTTTTTTATAGGTCCATGCTTCTATGTATCTACCACTAGACAATCTCTTCTGAACAAAGTCTTCTAAAATTAAGTAAGTAGTACCTAGCTGAGGCCGTTATTATCTGTGAAAGTTGTCCATGCCACGGTAAGTAGGTACCCATGCAAACTTACACTCTTGTTTATGCTGTGTGCTTACCATGTGTTTACGTTAGGGGTGCGCGCTAGCGAGTGCATCAAAAAATTCTAAGATTGTAGTTCTTGAAAGTAACCGCTAGGGTCGCTGTACAATCTGTCATACATATTAATTAATGTATTTTTTTAAGCGATCGCTAGCGAGCACACCTAACGTAAACTTATGGTAAGCACAATGATGCTAAAACAACGTGCGTATCTTGGCTACGTGCACACTTGAGACTTAGGCTGAGTTGCACCACCTTATTTTAACCGTAACAATAACCTGTGTTTTTTCTATGGAGTTTGACAGATGTTTGACGTTTGTCAAAGTTAAAGTAGGTAAGATGGTGCAGCTCTGCCTTTTCTGATCTTGTCTAGTAATATACTATTGAAGTATTTGTTATAATAACTGTTGTGCGCCTATCTGAGCGTGTGCCACATGGCCACCGCCTTCCTCGTCTCGTGCGCCATCTGGGCCCAGTGACGCCCCTCGGCGGCGGGCTCCGCGGCGCCCACGCAACACCAGCCCACCACCAGCCCGCTGCCGCCACCGGTCACCACACACACCTGGAAATAATTAACATTAAATCAGATTTTTATGCATTTTTTTGGGCAAGGATTAGAAGTTGTTTCCACATTAGCCAGATAGTTTTGACAGTTCCAACTGCTTTTTTTTTCTCCACAACGAGGAAGCTCTTGGCCTGTATCTCACCTGATGGTAAGTGATGGTCAGCCCGAAGGTGGAAGCGAGCTTCACCCGGAATCCTCAACCACGGAGGAACTGGCTATCTTACCTCTTAACTGACGGAACACAACAATGCTGTTAACATTATTGTTATGGCGACAGACTTAGTTAAGATGGTGGTAGCTAGCCAGGCGGACTTAGAACAAGCTCTACCACCAACCAAACCGAACAGAAAAATCTGCTCCCACTGGGAATCGAACCCGGGACCTCTGCGTCTGAAGCAGGTGGTCTTACCACTAGACCACCTCTGCAGAGGCGGCTTGCTAGACAGTTTTTTTAGAATAGCTGCCAAAGCCACGATTACCCAAACTTCATGATTCATCAGCATTCTAACCTATATTGGGAGTATATGACTAACTTTCAGCTTTTATAAAATGACGTAGGTCTGGCGTTCACTAGCTCTTACGCCCGTATTCACAAACATTACTATGCTATGAGGTCTCACAGTGCGCGTGGACGCACAGGGTGACACATGAACCAATCACAGAGCTCTATTCAACACTGTGCGTTCGATTTTCTGCTTCACTTAAGCAAGCATTGTTTGTGAATACGGGTATTAGTCTATTAAAGATAATTTAGGACTTGCCTCGATTGAAGCCTCTTGAAGATTGGCAGATGGCAGGCTGAACGATAGGGCCTCGTTCCAGACGGGATTGTTTATCTCTTTCCTATTTGTTTTCTTCTTTTTCACTCTTTTCCCGTTCACGAGGAGATATACCTTGACAAATACATCTGAAAGCAAGAAATGGTTGAAATTGATACCTAAATAAGAAAAAGCCATAAACAAACGAATGTAAATTTTTGGAATGAATCTATCCTACTTTTGAAGCTTGGTTAACAAGTAAGTGTAGGTAAGTAAGGTAATCTAATAAACTGCTACAATGGTGTTAAGTTCCAAAAAATCGTCAATGTCTCAAATCTCTTCTCTGTTGCAACTCTCCTCGGTCTTCCCTACTTAGGAAACGGTTTAGAAAAATGTAACTTCTTACCCAAAGCATCCTTTCCCTCTTGCGGTGGCAGCAGATTCCGCGCCTTCAGAACGACCACGGTCAGCCGTTCTGCTGAGGGCAGGTACGACAGAGACAGCAGGAGTTCCTGCAGCTCCTCTGGAGGGCGTCTCTCGCGGGACAACTCAGCCCAGACCTCGGCGCCTCCTGCTACCTCCACGCGGGATAAGGGAACCTTGGCTGAGCCCATCACCTCGTTGCGGGAGAATCTGCGCACAAAGTAATAAGATTTTTTTAAGACCTTAACTACTTAATTCCTCAGATTTTATACATTTAGGTACTAATAAAAAGTTGTCACACTCGAACAGTAGTATAAAGTGACATTTCCATACTAAATTGCACTCTAAACAAGTTCAACTGGTTCAATGAGTAAATAACTTTTATTAGTAAGGCCCAATGGACTAGTCGCCCGCATGCCTCTTGAAAAAATTTAACTGCCTAAGGCGGGAATCGAGCCCACGCCACGACCTTTCGCTTCCCGGCGAATGCTCTTCCATCTGAGCTACTTCGACACTGGATGAAATCAGTCGAAATTTTCAAGTTCGATTCCCGCCTTAGGCAGTTCGATTTTTTCAAGTAGGTACGTATTATAATTTAGTTTGAGAAGCGACTTTAATTGCTAAGAAATTTTAATAACCATTAAATCTTACCTGTCATAATCGAAGACCTGCAACAACAGCACTTTATCTCCCAGGTCGTCATGCGACACGGGAAACTTGAAGTGCTGGTCAAAGAAGGGGTTGGCCTCATTCCGGTGGACTGGCGTCTGCCGCACGCGGGTGTCCACCTCTGGTAGGAGGGTGACTCGGACGTACGGGTCGTTGAAGCCTCCTGCTTCATAGCCTGCTAGGTCGTGAGCTGGAATTGTGGATTAGGTGGTTAATATGGCGGTTTGGCTGGGAGGAATTTGAGCTCAAGTATCTAAGTGAGCAAGCATATTTTGGGAAAGCTCGTTCACCATAGATCGCATATGCACCCCCTAAGCGAAACTGCTGTCAAGAGTAAGCCCATAGTTACTAGCAAAAGACCTAATACAACCTACAAAACCCACAATATTTGTTACCTATTTAACTTCAGAAATTATTGAATTAATATAGTAAAAACTAATGGCAGGGCAATATGCGATCAGGAATTAAGCCAATGCAGTTAGAGTACCTACATAAAACTATTTAATTAAAGTAATAAGCTAAGTAATCCGGAGTTTCCGCGTTTACAATAAAACTACCTAAAGAAAAATCGCTCAAGACATTGAATATTAGGTTTTTAACTTATGGAAGGAAGACATCTTACCTTCAATAAGATGCACTTCCAAATCAGACCGGTCAAAGTCGTACTTCAGCCGAAGATGGATGCGCCCTAGCGAGGGCCCCGCGCCCTCCAGCTCGATGACCAGAGGCGCCTCCCGCTTGGTGTACAGGTCCGGCTGCAGGGCTCCAAGGGCGCTGACTGACGCCCCAGCGCCGGGGCTCAGGGGGCCCAAACCGCTGCTGCTCTCTACTAGAGAGTTGCTCCGGTCTATCCGTCTGATGAAACGAATATTAGTATGAGTAAGGATATGTGGTTGCTCAAAAATCATAAGTATTATTCGTTTGTTTTCGCTATATGAAAAATACAAATGGTAGGGGACAGCGTGAACGCCATAATTATACCTATTATTGAGACGATCCTCCGTTATTTCAAATAAGACCATTTTCATTACGATATAGCTAAATAGTAACTAATTAAGAGAGCTTTATTTTAGAGCTATGTCTTAAACTGCCAATAATGTGTCAGCAACAATATTGCAATTTGATATTGCTCAAATATCACAATATTTTTAGTCATGTTTTGTATCATAACTTAGAATTTTAAACTGCCAATAATGTGTCAGCACAGCACCAATATTGCAAGTTGATATTGCTTACAAAAAGGTTCAAATATCACAAAACTAGCAACTAAAACTATCCGTATTAGTTGCTAGTTTGCAAAATAAAACAGAGTTGCGAAATAAAAGTTTCCTGTCGAGCTCGACAAAGCGCCGCAATATGTTTAATTTTTGGCTGGGGAATTGCGACCGCTCGCAATATGGGGAGCGAATTCAAAATGTGCATCAGTTTCAGGTTTCAGCTGGCAATATAGTTAATGGGCGGGTTGGGAGAAAAAAAACTAGACTTTTCTCTCTTCATTTAATTTCAGGCAATTTTTACCTATTTAGGTAGTACCCGACTAATTGTAATCTTTCTGGAAGACGATAAGACCTAGCTCTACCTACAATTGAGCATGATTACCTACATTACATGTACTATGAACTTTTTGAACAAATTCAAAGCTCACCTTATTACTAACCTATATTAGTTCAAAAATCCAGAAAATAACCAATCTTGAAAACATATTTAAGGATGGAAAGAACTTTACCAGTTCAGTCAACTCTCAACCATCGACCTTCGTCTTTGTATCGAACTTGGCATCTATTGTACCGAAAACAACGAAAACTGGTTTAGAATTTTTATTTGCAAGTCAGTGAATTTAATATTGGTAGTTTTGAAATCGTAATAACAAATAAAGTATATTTTACTTATTTATTTTGATTTTACAAAATATATGTACCAATTGGGAATTAAATCCTAAATCTTCGAGTTGAGAGAGTCTCACTTTTGACCAATGAAACGTTAACCGTGCGTCTAACTAGCTAGCAAAACTTAAACATTACCTACCAACCTAGTTAATAAATAAAATAAATAATAAATAAATAAATATACTTGGACACTTTACACTGCGCTTCTAGTCCCAAACTAAGCAAAACTTGTACTATGGGCACCTATGGGTAGGTACTAGACATAGCTGGGCACCGTTAATCAAATAGTTAACTTCGTTAATCGCTAAACCGTTAATAAAAAAATTAACTTTGTTAAACGTTAAAACGTTACATTTCGCAAGATTTAACGCAAGTTAACGTTAATCGTTAATCCGTTAACACGTCATGATAATAAAACGAAAAAAATAATTGTATGCAAGGTTCAAATAATTTCGAAAGCTTGTATCGCGCATGGAATTTATTCCTCTTTTATGTTTGCGCTACAAGCTTTCGAAATTATTTGAACCTTGCATAAGTACAATTATTTTTTTCGTTTTAGTACAACTGCATTTCAGAATAAAAGCTTGTTTTTAAAAAAGTTTAAAACACTTTTTAGTAGTATCTCAATCTCAGAGCCTTGGTTCAATTACATTACAATTTAGCACCAAAGTGCTCGAAAAGACAAATCCAGCAAACCCAAACTCGATAAGTTTCCACCGTTTCGTTTAGGAATTCCTATGGCCACCTCCTGACACCATCATCAGCACCCTGGACATCATCTAGTATTAAAGTGCTCGAAAAGACAAATCCAACGTACCCAAATTCGATGCGATGCCGCCGTTTCATTTAGGAGTTCCTATGGCTACCTCATGACTCCATCATCAGACCAGCTCAATGGTACCATAACATTGCATTGTCATCGTACTTACATAAGTACCTATACCAAATTCAGCTCAATCGGTTTAGGAAAACTGGTCTTAAATTCAGTTGCAAGAGTTGTCCCACACATACAAATAAGTGTCTGTGTGGCAGTGTGATCAGAGGTGGAATTGTGTAAAGCAATCGGAATCGTTTGACAGTTCATAACGTACGATAAAGTCAGTTAAACAAAGCGTTTGACAGAATAATCNGAGTGTAGAGCGCGCTCAAGAATCGCGCGCGAGTGTAGAGCGCGCTTTAGAGCTCGTGTAAAGCGTGCGTCTGTGTGCGTGAGTCTGATTTCGAGCGTTTGTATGAAGCTTCCGTACTGTTTGATTTATCTACTGTGTATATACGATCGATAATATAGGTAATCTACAAGATATTGACATACTTCATTTCAACTCATCAGCTCTAGTTTGTCGACTACCCTCATTTTAGTTTTTTTCCCGTCTTGTTCGCAAATAGTCATTATTACAATAACATCGATAAATTTTATGTTACTATTTAGCTATGGATAGTACGTCCAGATGTTGTGTTAACGATCCTGATTCAGTTTGATAAGTTTGTGGTGAATACTACTGAAATATCAGCTTGCTCCCGAGTACGTTATGGCCTCATACTGAGCAGAGACCAATTTGGTACAACAATTGTATTATTTCACTTTTTAATGTCAATGTGTATCATTATTTTAGTACCAAATAAATATTTTTTCTTTCTTTCTTTCTTTCTTTCTTTGAAACCATTAAAAACAGCCGAATTTTTTGTATTTTGCTTACTTCGGTATTGAAATTCAATACAAAGGTAAGGTGTAGGTGCCTCAAATTGTATGTGTAATGTGCGTTGAACATCTGCGAAGATACTAGAAAGGCAGACGTAAGTTTTTGAAGCTTGGAGTGCCTATGATATGGCGAAAATGGCCAATATTTCCAGTTATTTTAACAGAAATTTCCAAGTTTAAGTACTGAAATACTAAAAGCAGGTGTATTTGATGGACTTCAAATAACTGTATTAATAAAAGACTCCACTAAATTTAAGATTTCTATGAACGATGTGGAATGGTTTGCGTGGAAATCTTTTGTAGCAGTTGTACAAAATTTCCTCGGAAAGCATAAGGCTGAAAACTATGTAGAATTAGTATAGGATGTACTGGTTCAATTCAAAGATTTAGGCTGTTATATAGGTATAAAATTACACTATTTTAACAGTAAACTAGATCAATTCCAACAAAATTTAGGAGAACTAAGCGAAGAACAAGGAAAACGTTTTCACCAAGACATAAAAACAATGGAGAATAGTTACCAAGGAAGATGGGACGCTCATATGATGACCGACTACTGTTGGAGAATCATGCGAGATTGCCCAAGTAAGTTTCATTCGAAAAAATCACTCAAAAGACAATTTCTTGATGTTTAATGCTAATAAAAAAATATATTTATTGTAAAAATTGTTTTTTAGTTATCTCGGGAACTAGAGCTGATAGAGAAAAACTGATTACATTTTTGATATCGCCATTCCATGGACATACTTAAAATCAGGTCTTAGATCCCCGGCACCAAAATGGCTGTAGGCCAGTATTACCTACCTAGTTACTTGAACCGTTGAACGTAGGTACCTGACAAGCGGGCATAATATTCTCATATTACCGAAATCATAATGTGGTTTCATGTTTAACTGATAGATAGGTTGAGATATGAAATGCTTTCCGCTAAGCTCGTATGTTACCTACATAGCTCATAATACTTATGTGGTTGTAGGACTTTTAGCGGCGTAGTCAATTTAGGTTTCAAATGTAAAGAAAGAAAGAAAGAAAGAAAAAATGTTTATTCAGTATCATCGACAATACACTTGCAATACTTAACATTATTTAATGAGAAGGTAATTACAATGATACTGAAAAGGTAGGCACATGTCAATACATCTACAGGTGATCTCGGTTTAATTTTTTTTTCAGGGTACATTATTTACTGTAAGTATAATGTAATTACCTACTGAAATAAGAATTGCGTAGGAATAGGTATTCAGTGGATGTAATTTATAAAAAGTTCGTAGTAGGTACTATTCTACTGACAAAGTTGGGTGACTCTGACGCCATAAATGGCGATGCTTAAATGCAGACATGCGGCCTAATAATTGACAGACAAAATAGGTGCTAAACTTGACTGAAGTAAGGTATCTAGTTACTTACACACAAGGTTTTATATTTGTTGATTTTAGTGATTAACCTAGGACTACTTTTCATGAAACAAATACAGATCACAAAGCCCTGAGCAATAAATTATCTGTTTTTAAAGTAATGTTAAGTCACAAGTCCCTACCTATATTTTTAGCGCATATTACTTCATGGTCTTCTTATCTCTAATTCTTGATGGAACCATTCAGCCTATTTATAGAGCCAAAGNGAATAATCGTACGTTATGAACTGTCAAATGATTACGATTGCTTTACACAATTCCACCTCTGGTTACAAAAACTGTTGTTTTGGGTTCTGGAAGTTCTGGAAGCCCGAACGTACTTGTCAGAACGCGTTTTTCAGCGTGCCTGCTATTTCTTTTTGGTAAATAGTAGGTACTGGATTAACGATTAACGGACTTAGGATTATTTAACGGAAGTTAACGAGTCCGTTAACATTTTTTAAAGTTAACTTAAAAGTTAATCCGTTAATAGAAATGTTAACTTCGTTAATTAACGATTAACGGATTAACGAGTTAATGCCCAGCTATGGTACTAGACAACGGATATAATCATACTTAAATACTTTTTTTTGTAAATACATACTTAATATACATAGAAATAGACCAATACAAACAAATTATGTTCATGCACACAAAATTAAATGTTTGTACTGTGCGGGAATAGAACCCGCAACCTCCTGAATAGTAGTCCGTTTCGAACCACTACACCAAACAGCCGATAGTTAGTTGAACGTACCTGACAAGCGGGCATAATACTCTCATATTACCGAAACCATAATGTGGTTGATAGATTTAGAATGAAATGCTTTCCGCTAAGCTCGTACGTAGGTACATACTTAGCTCATAATTATGTGGT